CTGGTTTGTAGTACTGGTTCACATCACACCTAAAACATCACGCTTTGACTAATAGGAGCAAAGAGATAGAGGTAAATGTGGAAGAAACGGGGAAAATGGTCTTTTAGGGTTTCCGTTGCGTCCCTGAACTCACTGGCACAGATAGTATATAATATAGTAAAGTAATAGAGAGAAACATTTAATTTTAACACTAATGGTACGATCAACTCCCTATTTTACGACGTGTACAAAACTGGAGTTCTGACAGGAAAAGTTTGATATACACGGAGAAACTTTTGATGCACACTAATGTTACCTACATTTGTGAAGGTTTCCAAAGAAGGAGAGGAAGCAGGCGTGCACTGCGCGTTATTTACGACTGGCGATTCCGGCAACAGTGCTTTTAAGAAAACTTTGTTCTGTAGAATATACCGGTGCGCTTTCCGAAAGCAAATCCTATAAAAGCTGCTACGTACGTAATTTTTACCACTTTGCGAAGACATATAATAAACTACAGTTGCTCCGTTCTTAAATAAAACTTTCAAAACGCCTATGTTTTACAAATAACCCTCCAAGTCCACAGTCAGTCGGTTTCAATCAGTAAGTTGTTCATGAGTTCAAAATGTTAAGTTTACATATTAACTATATATGAATATAAAATACACAACAAGGTTTTCCTTAAGAAATACTATATTTCATACTTACCATGTCTGCAACATAAAAGATACATTTTTATCTGAAGAACAAACTTGCAGGCGTTTTGAGGGACATAAAACCTTACTTAGCGAGCCACAAATCCTCGTAGCGTTAAGTCGAGATAAAACACTAAGCCCGCACCACAACGCAATGGAGCTCAATTTTTTCACCTGCGAGCCGACCAAGAAATGTAGGCCACACGCGATATTACTTACACAAGAAATATGACGCTCCATAATGAAACTCCGGCTTTAATCACATATCGTTATTCAAATCATTGCCCTCTCATACCGTATTTTAAAGCTGACAAAATACACATGTCTTTGGTGGTAATTTACACCGGTAACCGTGGATAACCGTATCCAGATATAGTATTATAAATAAGCATATCTATTTAATCTATACCTAGGTTTATCGAGAAAAAAAATGGCAATTAAGTATTTTTAATATACGTTCTAGACCTTTTCATCCTCTTTTTAGCCCTAAGCAGTTTCTATAAAAAAAATATTTACAATTATCTTCCCCTTTTTACTTATATGTAACCTTAAAAGTTCTGTTTGTCTATTAGTGTTTTACAAAATTTTGTATATTTTTAAAAATTTAAGTTTGTTAATTAAACAAAATGATAACACCGGTTTCGTTCAACGTTGTTAATTCTACCCGAAGTACAATTATATTAAACCGCATTTCCGGAATACCAAGACGGGAGGATTAATAAAGCCATTAATTTCCCTTAAAGCGCAAACAGTATAAATCAGGATGTACATAACATGTCTCAAAGACAGTGGTGTAACACAACCAAGCCGCAACAAATTTAAGATGTTATTTATGTCAACAAAATGAACAAGGCAAAGCAAGTATACTTCAATCGATCCCAAATGTATTTAGGAGGGGTTAGGCATGAGATGTTCATGCAATAAAATAAAACGTAAAAATATATAATAGTATTAAAATTATTGAAGCGAACATAAACGTTTTGAGGCCCTACTTATAGATAAATTATCTCGGGCGCGTCCCAATAGCCTTATAGAAGAGGTCGATATTTCTTAAAAGGGTAAGGGATGAAAACAAGAAATTCCTGAAAATCATTGCTTCGCCGTAGCGTGAGTACGAGTACATTTTATGTTACGGATAATATTTAGTTATGTCATGAATATCACAATAAACCATTGGTCGTGTTGATTCAGTGGTTGGTATAACAAAATTTAGGAAACGAGATCGGGAGTTGAAGCTCCGAATATACATTAAAATCCCGTTATGTCATAAGATTGACCGCGTAAGAAGCATGGGTTGGTACGTATTTTACTTGAAACATTATACACATGTTATTTTTTCATATGTGCACATGAACGCTTGATATAAATTAAAAATTTGTTGGGGATTGAAAAAATGCATGACACGGGCCACTAACCGCGGTAGCTTAGTTGATCTGAGCGCTACGAACAATAAGGTTCGTTGTGGTCACGGGTTTGAGTTCCGCCTGTGTCATCGTATTTTTTATCTGAACTAGATTGTTAATCTTATGTAACTCAAAATATTTTAAAACTATGAACAATTATTATCATATTAAATAACGTCCTTTTCAGATGGTAATCTCATCTAAAGAGGATTGCAGAACTAACATAAACTCAACCCGATTCTCCGACTCGAACTAAGTTGTAACTAGAAGTATTAGCGAAAATTAGATTTCAATAAGACGCTTGAGTCGAGACGAAGAACAAATCTGAAGCAGAGCCCAGTAATGCGGAGACGGTCACGCTCCGTCTTTTAATGCAATGTCAGCATCCCACAGCCTCGTTTATTTATTATATAACGTTCGTCTAAACGCATTTCAAACGCAAATCAACAATAGAATTTGCTAGAATTTGCACTAACTTACAAGAATCAACTTTTTTTAATTTTTAACGCCATTTAACAAAAAATACATCAAATAAGATTTTTTTTCCGGACTTTAAATTCGGCTTTTTTACTGTTAAAGTGTATGTATGTAGAAAGTCGAATCGAAAATAAATACATTTAAAATTAGCTATTATTATTTATGTTTAACAAGAGATTTAATTCAGAGCTTTTTACAAATAAGTGTTATTGATGGTATTCGCCTTCCGAAACTTCAGTGAAGTTCCTAAAATCAAGGCAAAAAATTCAAGTATGCATTCTATTTATTTTTCATACGAAATATAAATATAAAATATATGAAAGCTAGCTGAAGTTTCACAACTTTGGTTTCCTGCAAAATTATGACATCATCTCGCTTTAGACAATGCTTGTGATTTATGATTATGTCGTCGCTCACAGAAGTGAAGGTGCCTGTGTTTTACGACCGCCGCGACGTGACATATACCTACATACATATATGTACTATAAAGGGCAAATAAAAACAGAAAATCGACCTACAAACGTTTGGAATACAGCCTCTCCGCATAAAAGGTCGCATCCAAAATAAATTATTCCCCAATTTGGTCGTTACGATTCAAATTGAATAGAACATAGTGGCATAGCAATTTTTCTAGGCAGGAAGAGAACGAAAATAGATATAAACGCAAATGAAATGGCTCTGTGAATCGAACGAACGACTGGAACCGAGCCGTATACAATTTATCGATGGTGTGTAATTCACGCGATCCATTTAACGTTGACAATCAATATATGATATTATTTATCTATATCCTTAATAACACCGCGATAAGTCTGCCACGCTCGTGCGGGGACGTCTCGAACTTATTATTCATTACATACTCGTACTCGACGCACGTCCTCAGAAGATAACTCGTATAATTTCTGCAAGGACGCTACGCAACCCAACGAAACAAAAGCAGATTATCAACAAAACGACGTAAACAGTTCTCAAATAGAGAAACGGGTTATAGGCTCGGAAGATGTCGTGTTGCGTCTTGAATACTAGATGAGACCTCAGGTTTACGTTCTAACCGATCTAATCTAACAAACAATATTTATGGCCTATACAATCAAATAGAGAAGTCAGTAGTTTATTCGGATTATAAGAGAGAGGTCACAAACATTTATAACAACATATAATGCGGCAAGCGTGATCTAAACTCTTCTAACTGTTATTTTAGTTAATTCCTTTAGTATTTCCATTGAAAGTTTATCTAAAAAACTACGCTTTATTCAAAGATTGTAGATAACACCGTGGCGCTTTATATACGAAAGAAAATCCGGCAAATAGCATTAGAGCGTCGGCAGATAAACAGCGTGGCACACTTCGAAATGAAAAAAATAAAGGCGCGAAGACGACCGAATATATGAGAACGGCGATAAACAGGAGGATTCGTGCCTAACGGAGGGGTCGATATCGAAATACATTATTCCCCGATCCGAGTGTTCCGATTCAAATTGAAAGAGCACCTCCAACATGAGATTTCTCAGGCGGCGAGTGGGCGCGGAATATAAATCGCCATATAACCAGCACCGGCGGCTGCGAATTCACTTTTTGCGGTGGACCCGCTTACCTTTCTAGTTTTTATGGGTAAGAGAACTGATTGAATCGCTGTGTAAAATAAAAATCTGCAAAAGGTTGCTTCGTAATCGTATTCGGAACAATAGAGTAGTGCGGCGTATCTAGTACTAATCTAGAAACTAGACATAGTTAACTATCTACGAGCATCTTAGAAAGAATAGCTACACTATGTAAGTTTACCACACAGCTACTTATCGTAAGCCGAATTCACCTATTTATGCAGCAAAAATGGGACATACGCCTCCCCTCATCGCGTATTCTGTTCAATTCACAACACACCCAGTCGATATTTACGTAACAAACGTTTCTGACTGCTGACAATGTTTTCATTTTATTTAACTCCAAGGTACTAATCGCGTTAACTGTCAAGACGCGTAATGCTTTTTGTTTCAGATGTAAATGTGAATAATTTATTGCCCATTTTCTTCAATACGGCGGATGGTATTCACATATCATAAAATCAATGTATTTATTTTATCAAAATACATTATTTGTGAATATATTTTACATTATTTGTGAATTTTTAATAACATCATAGTGATATAAATTAAGGGTGGTAGAAAATTGAAATTTTACGTTTAGAATTTAGTCTGTGGTTATCGGAATGGCTAAAGTCAAAGAATATCTATAGCCTATTAAATTAGATACAATTCCATACAGGTTTGGGTATTATAAGCTTCCATTACGTAAACCCCAAGCATATCTGACGTGCTCTATCATATAAAGAGGTTTTATATTATTTATATCGAGTGGTTTTTAGAGGTATAGAACTTTAAATTGCAATAAAACAACGATGGATTATTCGATTGACATGAATTTTATTTATCCGAAAGGTAATCTTGTGGCATTAAATTTCAAATATGATTTCTGGCATATAACCGCCACGGCTAGCTCGGATGTAGTTCGAGTAGTAGTAGTAGTAGTGGACATTCAATTTTCGATGACTTTTTCCAACATTTGTAAACCGTATATGGGCAATAACACGGCGAATGATGTCTTCCAAATGGTCAAGCGTTTGTGGCTTATCCGCATAGACCAATGACTTTACATAGCCCCACAGAAAGTAGTCTAGCGGTGTTAATTCACAAGATCTTGGAGACCAATTCACAGGTCCAAAACGTGTAATTAGGCGGTGACCAAACGTGTCTTTTAATAAATCGATTGCGGCACAAGCTGTGTGACATGTTGCGCCGTCTTGTTGTAACCACAGCTCCTGGACATCATGGTTGTTCAATTTAGGATTGAAAAAGTTAGTAATCATGGCTTCGTTCACCCAAGAACGGACTAATGATTCCACCAGCCCATAAAGCGCACCAAACAGTCAGTTTTTCTATATGTAACGGTGTTTTGACATACACTTGAAGATTAGATTCACTCCAAATGCGGCAGTTTTGTTTGTTGACGTAGCCATTCAACCAGAAGTGCGCTTCATTGCTAAACAAAATCCGCTTATGAAAATCGGGAACAACGGCAATCTCGTTTTGGGCCCATTCGACGAATCTACGCCTTACTTAATGATCGTTTAACTTCAAGTCTTGCCCGAGCGAGATTTTGTAAGCACAGAAACCAAGATCCTTCAGCAAAATCTTCCATAAAGTGGATGCACACAGATCCAATTCCTTTGCTCGATGGCGGATAGACTCATTCGGGTCTTCCTCAATGCTACGCTCTACAGCAGCAATAGCGTCTGCTGTACGCACCGTACGGCGTCTCTGAGGATGCAAGTTATCAATAAGAGTAAACGTGGTGCGAAAACGTTCCATGGTTCATCGAATTAACTGCTCTGATTTTGAAGACAATAAAATGGTCGTAGTGCGCGATACGTATTCCGCACAGAACCATTATTTTCGAAATCAAATAGCACTATTTGCAAGCATTGTTCAGGCGTGAGTCTATTCATGACGAATTGCCAAACCAAACTGAAAATAAATCACTTGACAGCTGTTAAATCGGTCGCCATCTTGAACAGTAATGCCAACTTAAATTTTTATACCTCTAAAAAAAACACCTTTTATAAGAAATACCTATTAGCAACTGTATTATTTATTATTAATTAGCTTATAGCTGTAAGGCGAGCTTAAAGTCAAAAGCTTCCCGACGCTCAACTTTATTAGGGACGAGGCGCCAGCGCTGTCGCTGAATCAAGGTGACGCGCCTTCACAATGCCCCATTCAGGTTTAAATAGCTTTACGCCCAATTGCACTTCAATATGACGCTAGCTCTCAGATAGTTAATTCATTAAACAAAGATTTGAGAGATAATTTAGCTGCATGGAAGGAGCCGCCGGAGGCATTCAATTTCAGACGACTTCGTTAGGATCTCGCCCCTAGATGAATATTGTTTTCAGGGCTAATTACTATAGTTGTGTAGGATAATTTTGTTCAGTGTACTGACATTCGTAGTACGGCTTAAATGATAATGGTATGTGACAAGTCACTAACTTTTGGGAGGCCAGGGACATCGCGAACTTTACCAATTATGGCGACCGCATGTCTAAGAGACTCTGCATTCGTAGTACAAAACAACATAACTAACGTATTTCTATTCCGTAAGGATATATATTATATTAACAATAACAAAAACATCTTCCAGATGCAGTTAAACTATAAATATAATTTTAAGTTATTTCTCGGCTTGAAAGACCAATAAGAAAATTAGTAAAAGATTGACAATCAATGGCAAATTCGGAATTATTTTTTCCGAAAAAACTAAGCACGATATGCCATATAAAATTGTCTTGAATTCGTACAATATTAAAGAAAAGTACTGTAAGATATCTTCTAAGTTTTCCTAAAACTTAAATGTTACAGCTAGCAATTGAAAAATACATACGTAGCAGATATGACGGTGGCTTGGCTTAAAATGGCTGCATCGTAAGTTTATTACTTGAAGTAGGTATTCTAGCTTCTAGCGCTTTGAAACTTTGTCGTGATAAATTGCTATGTCATGTGAGTATATCCCGTCTCTCTATAGTGTATTTAGTCGTGCTTGGCTCTTATTTATCTGCCTTGTGTGTGTCCTGTTAGAATAATTATAGACACACAACTTTGAAACACGATAAAAATTGTGTACGGTAACTCATATTTTTAAAATAACAAACATATCAAAACTTTTTTTTTTACACGTTGCACATGAATAATTTACACATCGAAAATAAATTGAAAAATTGTCGACTCGGGCAGGACTTGCACAGGGCAAGACTAGGTAGCTCAATTGGTAGAGCAACAGCACGGCACGCTGACGATGCCGGTTCAAACCCTGCCCGAGACGAAATTTTTATCAAATTATTTTCGATTTTTAAATTATAACAAACATAGCCATTACCACTGATGAGGCTGAATCTTAGATCATAAAGTACAAAATTGACGTTTTAAAGTTTTTCTATTGAAGTTTTTGAACATAGTACGTTTTTATTCAATCACCTATATTTATCAAGGCGATAAGAAATCTGCTGCTGTATCTGAATATTTATTTCTTTACTCTAGTATAAAAACAGTAGAGATAAAGGTGTCTTCTTATATATACATTTTCAACACCGCGCTAATCGTAAGAACTACTGGTTCACATTTAATAATGTATGTAAGATATCAAAAAATATGCATCAAAAGAATAATTCCTCTTTAAATGATCATGGAAAAAGTCCGCGACAATATATCTGTCGATATTTTAAGATTCACATGAACCGTTTTTATGGTAATTAAATTTATATGAAATACTTCAAATGGCAAAAGAACGTTTGCCAGTTCACTTTTTTTTAACTTATGGTGTGAATGCCTAATGCACCATGTCGGGCAAGTGTGACGTGGGGAGTGTGGTAAATCGTATAGCCGACCAGAACCACTAAACACACCACCAGCCCTCTACGGTGTTTTGAAGGAACCCTGGGAACACGTTTTGCCAGTTCACCTAGTATATACATTTAATGAGCAGAGTTTCTGTACTTTATAATTACTTATGAGCAAATCAAGAATTATAATACGTATCTGTACTATTTTTTCAGTTTTTGAATTTAAACTACATTACATAATATTATTTTTTTTATTTTTTGACCTCCTCCTTTGTTTCTCCCTTCCGATTCATATACATATATCATGTCATGGAATCCTTTTGTTGCTTGAAACAGACAACTAAGTAATATACGTCCAGGAAGCAGGTCTAGCAATGTATTCTAGACGACTGTTGTTGTTATAGTCGACAGTGTGTGCATGAAACACGACAGTGTTTATCGATGCCGAATAGTCTAATGGAGTAAAGATTTTCATATATTTTAACAGTAACAATATTTCTTTGGTTGACATAATACTATCTATTACAGTACTACACTGTAAAACGACAAAGTTTTTTATATATAAAAGTACTTTTTTACCGTTTGAAAACTTCAATATTTTTTACATGTTATTGCATATGATGGCACTATATAGCTTAAAAATTGTTCTAGCGCAATAGGACGGAACGCTAACGATGCCGGTTCAAGTCCTGCCCGAGTGATTTAAAAAAATCTATTTTCGATTTTTAATCTACTTTCATACCTGTAAACTAGGGTGCACGCTCAGTTGTAACAGCGTCCTCACTACTCCAAGGTGGCCTTTATTCACGGCAATATGAAGCGGTGTCTGTCGACGTCGGTTTCTGGCATTAAGGTCAGCTCCGGCTGTAGCAAGCGCCCTTAGCGCCGCTGGTTCATCGCCAAACGCCGCGTGGTGAGCCGCCCGATCCCCATCACGGTCTTCCGCATCCGTTTCAGCTCCAGCTTCCACCAGCTTTTGGATCACTTCTACGTGGCCGTTTTGGGCAGCTGCCTGAGTATTTAAATTATTTTAACTAAAGTTGACTAAGGTTAAGAGTTTTTAACGGGCTCGTTGGTCTAATGAAAGCAATGTATGGCTAATACACGGGTTTGATACTCACTAGGTCCCACGTGTCCCTATTTTTTGCAATTTATAATTGTTCTTAAACATGTTGAACTTTGTCTGGAAATCTGAATATTATATAGGTGGTAGGAACATTGAAATTCCGTCCACGTCACAAACCACCGTCCACAGATGAAAAGCTGTGGAGTTTAATCGTGTTTTGGTTCCAGCCTGTGGATTTCCAAATATCAAGCACAACGCATCTTGTTTAGGTGTTAGAGGGCTAGGATATTTCACCTCTTATTAAGTGAACCCTACACTTGCCTGTCCTCTATATTACAAAAAAGAGTTATTATTTTTGTGAGAAGAAAAAAATATATTATTATGTAAGTATAATGTAAGCCTATAAGAATATTCTAATGATAAAAAACTAATATAATAATTTTAAGCAAACCATTCCTATGAAAAAAAAACTCTAAATGTAATTATATGTGTGTGTTACTTTCCAGTAAGTATAATTCTCTTCTTTGGTTATCCTCAAGTCCACTACCAAGCGGAGTAAGGAAATTGTCAACAAAATGTATGGAGTGATTTCCAGGCTTTCAATCGTTGTCCACAACAGAAAACGATAATCCATCAATAAAACGGAAACAAAAATATGTCTGGCCTATATCCCACTGGGGAAACAGGATTCCACTTTTTTGGATTAAGATCTAACCTGTAATGCTGTATGGCCCGCAGACACTCCATTAACATCAGCCTGAGCAGCATCTGACCCGTTGAGAATGTCAGCGCAACGTGCAGCGTCTCCGTTAGCAGCTGCCTTTACCAACTCTTCGTTGGCACTACCGTGGCACTCAAATAGGCGTTTTAATATCATTGAGAGTCGCTCACCTACAAAAAAAATACGTTGAACATACAAGTTAATTTAAGTGGAATGGAAACCTATATTCAAACAATTATGTTACCTAATTATGTATACGAAAAAATAACCTCGAAATCAAAAATAGGTTCTAAATTCAGCACAATACATTTTGGAGTTCTAAAGGACGTTATCGTAACTAATATAGAATGACTAGTAAAGTAATATATGTCGGAGGAAGCTATACTAATTGTTATTAGCCTAGTTGCTTGTTGTTCCAAGGGGTGAAGTCGGGTCTCTTCAAAAGAAGCCATTTGATTGAACTTTTCGGAGGAAGTTTTAACTATTGTAAATCAAGTTGATTGTTGTTTATATTGTGCACATTGCACAATATACAATTATTTGCAGTTCTATTAATTTCAAATATTACTATAATTTTTTCCAACTTTAATGTAAAATTCATAATTTAGTTTCTTTTTTTAACATTGACATTGTCGTAATTTAAAAAAAGGCATGTTATTGAATTGTTACGAACAATCGAGCAGAGCGCGTGTCTCGAGTGGGGTCGAGGTATCATAAAATAAGTGTGTGAAAATTAAGTCTAGTCGGAGATCGAGTTGGATCTTGAGAGAGGAATCAAGCAGATTGTATCCCGAACCCGTGCATGGTCTTAATTATTATTAATAGTAAAGTCCTGTAAATAATTAAAACTGTTATAAACGTGTTTTGTGCTCGCATTTACCCCGATGCCCACAAACAGACCTCAGATACATAGATACCCTTCCAGAGTTGATATATGTGATTCTCCGACATATATAATAGAGAATATATTGCTACGTGTATAAATTATTGCTGAGGAAAAAAGTTATTTCTAGTGGTTGGGTTCACCCTTCTATGAGCAAGACCAAAGAGAAAGAGATAAACAAAACTAACCAGGAGAATTATCAGAAAAGCTTCCGTTGGATGATGCAAGTTTCGTAACGGCATTTGGATTATACGTCCAAGTCATATTGCAGACTTCTACTTTAAGGTCATTGTCGTGATATATTTGCTGGACACGTCCAACTTTCCCCAGCGTCTGTAAGAATAGATGGTTTAAAATTTAAACTTTAAGTACATATGTGGTTTCATTGCAGATGTACATATCTTAATTATATAATGCCCAAACGATAATATTGACCACGTGTAAGACAATAAATAAAAGCGGTATTTCGTAATGCCCATTACGAAATATTTCTTTCAAAATGTTTAATTTCATGTCGAACTAACACTACTAAGATAGGGTACAAACCAAAAAAGGCATAATTTAAGTTTGATTTGTAATTTACTAATGAAAATTTAACACTAACAAAATCCATGGTCTCCGCCCATTCTCCATGTCCGCGCTGTAACGCTTTGACTCGCTCTTTGTCAGAACAAACTTGGACAATGTCACCAACTGCAAAGACACTACTCGAGTTTGGAGTCATTGTTGACGTAGAAGGACTTACACTTGCGCCGGACACCTACAAAAAAAAATTGTGTGTAAATTCTCAGATAGTATGTTGTATGTCTAATATTTCAATTTTAGCTGTCATTAACAATTGCTAATTAGTTACTGACATTTTCAAAGTCCACTTAACCGACTATAGTATAGTAACCACTTTAACTAAAGTCAGTAAACAGAAAGTTTTCAAAAAGGCGTAGGCACAATTGGGATGTATAAAAGTAATAAATGTAAAGTAAAAAAAATAAAAATACTTTGCACATAGGGCTTATAAGCTAAAACTTATATGTTAAGTTTTTATAGAAATATTGTAAAATTATACCTTAGTTAACACAGCCAGATTGAATGTCCATCTGTTTCCACTTGGGTAAGTGACTACAATATCGTGATCTTCATCAATACCCACAACAGTTCCGGTTGTGTTTAAACTTTCAATCATAGCATCTATCCAACCACCATGGCCAACTTGCAATGATCTTACTATTTCTAAATCCAAATTGATAGTCACCTACAGAAAAACAATTGGTTGCAAAGCAATGGGCAAATTAAAACTTACATATATATGGCAGTTCAAACAATAATATTAAAAAAAGCTCCTATACGATGGAGAGCTTATAATACACTAGTCTTTACATTATGATATTTTACACAAGACAAGTGAGAGTTTAAAATTCTCATTCAACTTACTTGATCACCTATTTGTAAGCCATGTGGACCAGAATTTCCAGGTCCTAGTTCTCCTAAGAGTGGCAAATGCTCCTTATATACATTTTGCCCTTTTACATCATTTACCACCTGTAAATTATATTATTACATACTGTTAGACATTTTGAACTATTTGAAATCAAGAATCGAAAGATTTGACATGCTTATAATCAATTCATTAATTTGTAAAAACAACTATGTTTATATAAGAAGTTCTTTGCTCCATAAAAAGTACATGATTTTTTCCTATTTTAAAATTGGCTTCTTACTTTTAAATCGGCCATCCCTTGGAATCCAACCCTATAGAGATTTTTTGTTCCATTATCCCATACTACATATGCAGCTGAACGTGGACTAGCTGCTGACCAGTCTTGTACCTCATTTACTTTTCCACGCCTGCCATTTCCCCCATCTTGATCTTCCCATTGCCAATCAACCTAGTTTATAAGATAAAAAAAGTTACTTATTGACAAAGTTTGTAACATGCGTGAATACATAAAATGTCCCTTACAGAAAATAACCTAATAATTTAGGTAATACAAACCCCTCTAACAACTCTGGCTCCAGGAAAAATACCTTTAACAGCTTGCTTTTTACTTTTTCTTCGAGGTTCAACAAGACATCTTTCCGCACCTGGTGCACTTACACGGTAGAATCTGTGTCTCAAATTATGTTTATCACCATGATAACAGACAGAGCACAGATCGTAGTTAACACATTCAGCACATTTCCAGCGAATACCTTAAATAGTTGATATTCAATTAGGAATCATTGTTTTATTATTGTTATCATCATTTTAAAACAATAAATAAGACTAGATCTATCGGAATTAAGTCTAGATCTTTAAAGATACTAGATCATAATAAATTTAAGAAATATTTATAAAGATACAGACCGAAAATTGGTTGCTGACGACATGTATCACACATGGTACCATCGTGTTTGACACCTGTTGGAGCGCTATCTAAGATTCGTAAGTCGTATGCACCGGAACATCGATAGTTTGCAGCAGTTCCGTTGTCCCAAACAACAACAACTTCTTCAGGAGACTCAAAGTTTCGCACCGTTCCAACATGACCCTCACCACCATCCTAAACCAACAGAAAAGTTTTAGAACATTCCATTTCAAATCTAATACGAAACCGTTTTTTTTTAATGAGGAAGTAAGGAAAAAATATCAACTACATTATTATACCTGCTTGCCCCACTTCCAGTCAGGCCCCCTTATTACACGGGCTCCAACGCCTTCCATCATAAATCTTGTTGCTCTAGTAGATGTCGCATTTCCTGCAACATTTGATTCCATTTTCTGCTTATTTCTATGGTTTATAAGAAAGTTATTACAAAATTCGAAACTTTGAGAGAATATTTTTGTAGTTCATAATTTGTTTTATAGCAACTTGTAAATAAAAGTGACATTGACAACATTTTATCTCATTTTTGATAATTGACAGATTACAGCATAAGCAATACCATAGATAAGGAAAAAAAACTCGTATTCATTTTTCTATTGTTATGGTGCTTTTTCATAGATGTAGTGAGGTAAAAACGCAACGGCAGCTAATATAATTATTTTCAAATTTCCATGAGGTTATAGCTTTATATTTCCATGACACCGCAGTGTGAGCAGCTGATTTTGACATCTACAATATTTTGGCGTAACACTATCTGACAATTGTGTATAAAAATAAATCGTCGCAACTCCCGACCTTGTATTTTAATTCTGAAGTGTTGAAATACATATTTTATGATACACAGTTACAGTAATTATTTCAAAGAACCGTAAACTTAACTGAAATTAAAAAATGTCTCACAATCGTACTAAATACGAAAAGGCTCGAAGACGACTAGCTGCAGTTACCTTTTTATCGAATATATCCCTTGATGGTTCTTTTAAAGATACTGAGTTATATCAAATACTGGATAGGACTTCTAAATTAGATAAGTGTGACGGCGGGAACAAGTTAACAAATATACCAACTCATAACGAGAAAGACGCAATCCGCAGTAAAAACCGCAATGTCAAATTAACGCAGTCAAGTCCCGCACACAAGAACAATAGTGATAATTATTCAGTCAGTTCCGATTCAGAATTTATCCACGTTACTCCCATAAAGGGTGCAAATACAATTGCTATAAGGGAAAGGTATATAAAATCATTTAAATATTTTTATTAATTTGCTAAAATGTTCTTACATATTCATAAATGTATATTTTAGATGTTCTTCTGGGAATGCTGACTTATATAAAGACAGACATCCATCACTGAGAGGGCGGAAATCTTGTACTCAAGATGAAAAGAGCAGCATAGAAAGTCTAAACTATGGTAATTTATTTTTATACTGCTTAGTAAAGAAACATTGCTTATATGTTTACTTACTTTATGGCTTGTTATTATAGGTCGCCTAAGAACTAGTAGTACTTGTATTCCAGAAAATGACTGCTACACAAAAGAGGTAAAGTTAATTAAAGGAACAAAAGGTGTCTCTTTTAAGGATGAGCGACTTGCATTTGCCCCATCACAAGGTGTACCATGTGCCCTGTTTAGTACAATACCATATTCTAAAAATGCCAGATGTGCAAGGTAATTAAAACTTAAGCTAACTAAATTAAATTTGCTTCCAGTAGAAGTATTAGTAAATGAGAGTTATTCTTATTATCTAGGTCTGACTTGAGAAAAGATGGTGTCAGAAGAAGGAATACATCCGGTCCAAGACCACTATCTGCAATTACTGATAATGGTATAGATCCCTTTGATCTGTTAGGCTTAGAAAGAGAGGAACATGGACAAGATATATCATACTCAAAGCTGTTAGTACCCTCTCGAGTTTGTACCAGGGAGCAGTACAGGAAAATGTATGAAGCTGAACTTACTGATAAAGCCACATGGAAAGTAATCAATCGACATCCTCACGTAATAGCAAGGTAAAAAAAATATAGAATATTGAATAAATATTTTCAGTGTCATAGCAGCTGTGTGCATGCTATTATGTCTCGTTTGTTTCAAGTATCATTTCTACATGCTCACTGTATTCATTATTCATCAATGCTGGTTTTGGGGCAAGAAAATATCCTAGGCAGACTTATTGATACGCCCATGGAAGAAAATCACAGTTGAGTGTTATTTGGAGTAAACATGCCATTGCCTTATCATGCCCTAATGCCATTTTTATCATATTATTTTACTTGATGTTTTAATATATTCTGATTGATATTTTTACACCTCTAGTCATGCCATATCATTTCTTACATCTTTAAATTTCAGGACTAAGTTATTGACGCGGCACAAGGACAAAAAATGGTAATCATAAAAAGAATACTATGCACCCTTATTTAGGTTACCCATATAGGAACAATAAAGTAATTGCTTAAAACACGGTTTTCTAATATCTTTTTAAGGGCTTTATATTGCATATTAAAGGGTAACAGGAAAGTTGTTTTTAATTGATTAAATTGAATTTTAATTATAAATTATTAATCAGCTACATAATTAAAGAAATCGTTTGCATTATATTGTAATTATATAGTATAACAAACATTTGCATAGTAAAGTATGTAAGATAGCAATATAGTATAATTTTAAGGCTTTAGCTTTTTCCTATAAGAATGTTAGTTTGCTTTCTTAACTCACAGTATATAATACCTTCTTTTCTTTTATACTTGTGTAAGAATTTAGGGGGAGGGCCTCCTCTCTTCCGGGGCCCCCCCCCCCGCCCGGGGAGGGGTTCGCGGGCCCGGCCGTCCCGGCGCCGGGGGGGGGGCCGCCCCCCCGCCCCCCCCCCCGTTTGGGGGGGGGGGGGGGGGGGGGGGGGGGGGGGGGGGGGGGGGGGGGGGGGGGGGGGGCTTTATGGTGTCAACCTTAAGAAGTTCTTTGGTTTCATGCATGATTTGGTTTATTTTGGAGTAGAATATGAACTTGCATGCTAAGTAATGTAATAATAATCAATAGTTCCGAAATGAAGCATGATTAATTGCATAATATTACACATTCAAGGTGTTTCTCGTACGAGTCAGCCCAGAGAACCACTATAGCGTCATCTCCGCCACACTCATCCATTGAAAACAAAACATTTGATTGGGACGAAGATGCAATATTAGCACAAAAATATGTTAGCAAAAAGGTAAACAATTTGTTTAATATGCAGCGGAAACCCAAACAAAAAACATACTATTTGGTTGAAGCAATAAAATCCAACGCTAGTTCGTCTCACCCTTGTTTGATTTTGTAGGTCCACTATTGTCCAAATGTACTTGACGATCCCGAGCTGATAGCTGGTAAGCACAGGACCCTTCTTACCTTTACATCCTACATGACGTCTATCATCGACTACGTTCGTCCGCAAGACTTGAAAAAAGAGCTTAATGATAAGTTCAGAGAAAAATTTCCACACATTAAGTTAACCCTTAGCAAGTTAAGAAGGTATGTTTAATGATGATGAAAAATTACATTCAGATGATTATCTAGCCAGATTTTAATCTTTAATTAGGCTTTCTATATTTATGCACCTTTTTTATTACAGTATAAAGAAGGAGATGCGTAAAATCGCTAAACACGACAGTGGCGGTATAGACTTGTTGTCGGTAGCGCAAGCTTACGTTTATTTTGAAAAATTAATCCTTGCTAATCTTATTAATAAAGATAACAGAAAGCTCTGCGCCGGCGCATGTCTTCTACTGTCCGCCAAATTGAACGATGTGAAAGGCGAAATGCTTAAAGCACTCATAGAGGTGAGAAAGACATTTTTCTTTTGATAATATCAAGAGAGGAAACAGCTTGAAGTATTTAAATAAAATACTTTTAACGGTTTAACAATGGTGACCACCTTCCCCCGTGACCACGGATAGTTAAAGCCGGAGTCAAAGTAAACTGTAAATAAGTTTAATTAACTAAACACTTCGGGTTGTAATCCAGAAAGGTGTTTTATATAAATGTGTACTACTTTCGTAAACTACAAACAATACTTAACTAGAAGTATTACTATAATTTATATAGCCTAAAAGGCAAAATGATTTATATGAAGAAAATCCCATAGGTATATACGATATTACCGGCGTTATTTTTTTATTACTTTTTATATTTAAACATATTTTTGCTTGCAGCGTATCGAGACAACGTTCAGATTAAACCGAAAGGACCTGATAAAGTTCGAGTTCGCGGTGTTGGTGGCTTTAGAATTTGGATTGCACGTACCACCCCATGAAGTGTTCCCCCACTATCAGCGATTGCTGCATGACTCGTGACGATGGCGACGGCTGTCTTGCGAGCCGTGCTTACGCTCGTGTAGAGACCCTTGTGTACGGTCCCATCGCCGGCGCGCGTCTATTGTAGACAACTTCCGCACTAACGCCTGGTTATAGATTGTTATAAGTAACACGTTCTATGTCCGCGTGCAAAATCATAATCAATGCTATAAGTACTTAACGTAATAAGTAAGTTATGGCGTTGTTTTAAACTGTTTAAGGGGAAATTTCAAATTCTGCCTTTGTTTTATGGCCTGTTAGTTTTAAACAATACATTTGAAAAATTTAATATTTTTCACGTGCTAATAATGGCACTATATAAATTAAATACAATTTCAGATTGAAAAAAAAATTACGACACGGACAGGACATGAACCGGCATCTACAGCGTTCCGTGCTGTTGCTCTTAGGACTTGAGCTACTTGGCTCAAGTCCTGTCCGTGACGATGATTTTTTCCCCATCAAACTTTTTTAGCTTAAGTCAAGATGAATTCTGTAGGAGAAACTAAGTACGCGGACGTACGAAAGCACGAATATCTTGGTGCATTTATAGTCGTTGATGATTTAGCTTGCCGATAATCGTTATTGCCAGCAACGTATTTATAATTTATAATCGCTTTACACAGCTGTCATAGATATATCTCTTCTCGAATTCTTTAAATAAATTGTTAATGCTTTTTCCAGCTATCTTTCATCACTCTGTGGGTATTCAAGTTGTATAGTAGGTTGTGTAATTTATTGAAGGTACTCGATGTTCACCACAGTTGGATGTCATCGTTAAGAACTTTTGACCCTTGTTAATAGAAAACCGCCTTTACATATGTACTAATTGTATATTTTCTTAATTCATTAGAGAAAGACTAAGGCTATATTAAAAAAATGCGGATTGACAGTTTCCTTTTTTATAGTATTACAAAGAAATTACTCTTATAGTTGATAGATTAGTTGTTCAATATAAAAATATAAATAATATATGTATCTATAAACAGTTGGGGCTAGTCCATATTTTTGTCACAGAATAGTTGTTTCTGCGAAATTTTATCTAATAGGTGTAAGATAAGTCATTAAATCAATGCTGTGATAGTCTTCTAAACACTGTTTATTATAAATAGACAGTTAGTAATAGCATCATTTCATTTAAAAATATGATTATCACAATTGAATATTACCTATATATAGTGTTAATGTACAGGGAAGTGGTCAAGAAAATGTGACAAGGGGGTCCAAAATGATGTCAGGTCACAATTTAAAATCCATTAATTTATTTTGAGTAAACTTAATATAAGTAAAAGAGATGCCAAAGATAATAATTACAAATATTTATATAGTATGTAATTTAAGTAGGAAATAATTTATTCTAATGATCTGTGGTAAATGTTTTTAAAGTGTGGATATAATTACTATCACTTGAGTACAAAGAAATAAGTTTTTGATTTGCTTTAATATTTTGGTTAAAAGTTAAAAAACTATTTGTTACGTGTATCTTAATTAATTAAGTATATCATTTGCATTATTTTTTTTGCATTTTATTGTATAATGCTGTCTGACTCTTGTGCCCGCAAAGAATTCGAATCAAACAATGTCGCATTTTTGTTAATTTAAACTTTAACATAATATATGTCGGTGTCAATTCAACGTAACATTTAGTGCATTAGGTAGTAAATAAAACATACACATTTATCGAACCAGTTTAACGGATTCTATCGCGATATATTTCAAATATCTTATTACTTCTTGTTGCCAACGATTATGTAACTCTGTTGAACGTCCTTAGTTTTAATTCTTGTGTACCCATTTATAAGTAGATTCAAAATGTTACAATAATAAAGCTGTTTAAGGGAGTTATTTTTGACTTTTGTCTTTAGGTCCAAAAAAATTAAAATATACTCGTACGTCGTACTTTCTTTCATATATTTTTCATTTCTTTATGTCTGGTGAGGACAGACAAACGTGCACTTTACTTAATGGATGATGTGCTGTAGTCATATTTCCTATAGTCATTTTGAAAATTTGCAGCCTGAAGCAGTAGCGAGTTTTCATGCGGTCTTAATAGAAATCAAATATTGTGATGAAATGTATATAACAGGTCCATTAATTGCATATCACGTCCATTGCTTAAAACGTTACAATTCTACTTTTATCGAGGCTTTGTATTACGCATGACTTCATATACTTTAACTATCTAGCTATAAGCAAGTTTTACTTGAAAACATGTTTCCGCACTGAACGTTCGTATTTCTTGATAAATAGATATAGATATTAAAATGGACTCAAAGGTAAGCTTGAAATATATCATTAAAATGTTTTTGCCTCCTGGTAATAATATAAAATAAACATTAACCACCAGAGGTACCTGTATCATCTTCACGTTAACAGTATCCATTGTAATTTCAGAAGCTACTCATTGTTACTGTAATGGGTTGCCTTAGTTGGTGCGTAAAAGGGGACACAAGCGGAGAAAGTCAATCGTTGCAGAGAATACCTGTAGATGGCTTGAAAATCACATCGACCGAAGCGAATAATAATAATGCCTGGAGCATTTGGAGACCATGGAAATTCTGGAACAGGGGTTAACGTTCTAATACCTACTCTTTTTAATATTGTTTCATTTTTTATTGTCATTACAATAAAACATTTCCTCACTAGGTCTCAGGTTACGGGAGGGCTTGCCAATCTCTTCTGATTTAATGCAGAGTGCGTCTAGAAGACCCTACTTTCGTAATATTGGCTTTAACCACAGCCCGAAATTGAAGAGAAAAATTAAATTCCTTGTAAAAATACAGAATTATGAAAGGTACATTTCTTTTATTTATACGTTGGATTCCAGATTTATCTAGCTCCAAGATGTTGCTTTGGCTCTTAATAAATTCATTAAATTTAAGTTGAAAGTTATTTAAAGATATTTAATTAAAAAACAACGAAATAGTACCTGCCTCTCATAGATTAAGTGTCTATAAATTATTTGAAATAATAAGACGAAACCTTTGGAAGGTTTTAATAAACAAAATTCGACATAGTTATAATATTGAAATAAAGATATGTAAGATTAATAGATATATATAAAACGATGACGAAATATGAATGAGTAAAAAGATTTCATATATATCACCACATTATTAGAGTAATGTCATGTAGGTCTGTTCTTTTTGACAGTTTTTATGAACTAATCTAATCTAATTAACAAAACATTTCATAAGAATTTCATTTTGTGGTAAACATTTTAATTTGTATGGTCTGGTTAAGATATAGGCATTCGTTTAAACCATGTATTACGTAGATTCTCAGAGAACCGTCACCCGTCGCGAAAGTTCTCTCATTGTAGATAATTATAATACTAGAGATGATCGAAGTGAATTCGAAGCTCTATCGACTACACGAGGTCAATCTACAGCTAGATTCGTTAGCGATTCAGCATCTTCGCTCATTAACAAACAGAAGTGCTCTGTGCAGAAGGAACTGGTAACATTACTCTTCGAGTCGATGTTGGATCATATTGTAGATTCTTGGACGGTTATAGAATCTCGGAAACAGGAGGAGACTCACTCAGAGGTACCTCGTTCCGCGAGTGAGACTACTTTACCGGGCAAAAAGAAGAAATCCACTGCGAGTTAGTATAATAATTAAAATTGTTATGAGAGGCGGGTTGAAGCAGAGTAGCCTAACTGCAATTATGACTTGGGATATTTATATTTTCATTGTGTAAAAATATTAATCTTCAAGAGTACAGTGACCGGACATTGTCAACACAATTTTTACACAAGTAATAGAACAAATTCATTTCCACCTAAGTTAATTGCGCTTTTTTGTTTTCTTCCTTATTGAAAGTCATGTTTTTTGCTATTAGGCCACTCTACTTTTAGCAGCTTCATATATCTACATTTTGATGCTGATTATGAATTTTATTCCGTACATTTTATTTTGAGGTAAACCGAGTAAGAATAAACGGAGTCAGTCAAAGATGGAGATGGATAATGCACAGGTATTTTTCAGTGTTCTTTCAGAGTCTAGTACCACTACTTAACTCAGTGCCAAAACATTCAGAAAAACAATGTTTATTACCTATATAGGTTCAATCTACCAACCAATAGCTAGTTTTGAAGTAGGTCTTACCTGTTTATTCAATTTGATTTTGATTTCTTTGTATTCGAGATCTTATTATTCTCTTTCTTACATAAAACTCAAAAATTTTTGAACGTCTCTTCGTGTGTTATATTTTCTAGAATGACTCGACTATACCTCAGACTTGGTGGTCAAGCCCAGATGAGAGGGCTATTATTCGGTTCCGTAACGGGAACTTATACGAAGGTGGTATATCGATGAAATGCATGCATGGTGAAGGCCGCTTCCAATGGGCTGATGGAACAGTATATTTGGTACAATACATACGAATTCATTTATTATTATTCTCCTTTGGATATTGTCTTGGCTCGCTGCGACGGTGAAATGTTTTGGCACAGGGACAATTCAAAGATAACGAAATACGTGGCAAGGGTACAATACAATGGAAAGACGATACTTGGTACGAAGGAGATTTTATTGGTAATTTACGTCATGGCGAAGGGTTATATGTTGACTCAAGGAAACAACGCTCGTATGCTGGTGGGTGGTACTCCGCAACAAAACATGGTTATGGAGCAATATATTATACGGGAAATTTCAACAATTCCTATAACGGCGAGTGGGTTTCTGTAAGTGCTTTTGACATTTCGACTATGTCTATGTATGTTTTTATCCAAATATTGCTTTAAAGTAAGTACATTGAATCGTAATTGTTTCTTTTCTATTTATTTATAACCAGAATGTTCGCCATGGTTATGGTTCTCGTGAATATTGTGCTATGAGTGGTTACAAGGGCTATTGGGATTACTACGTCCGAGATGGAAAAGGCTTAATGATTTGGCCAAATCATGACGTACGTAATTACCATCGTCTGTTTAAAAACTACACGACACGTTACAAAACATTAATTCGCCCTCACGACATTCTTAGTTTTACAGAGGTGAATGGAAAAATGGCGTGATGTCTGGATACGGAATCTACATCTGGGATGCGTACTACAATAACGCCATGTCATTACCATCAATTACTGCTTATCGGGGCAATTGGGAGAGAGGACAACGACATGGTTACGGTATACTTAATTTAGGTTTCGGCCTTGGATCTTATTATAAAGGAGAATTTAAGAAAAATAATAAACACGGACCGGGAACATTTATTTCTAATAGCGGACTCATACTACAAGATAAAAACTTATTTATCGATGACAATTTCGGACCTTTAAATTCAAATATTACCGATTATAAAGAGGCATCCGTGGATTATAAAAACCAGATTCCGGAACCGTTTTCTTTTGACATTTGTGATCAATACATCGGACTTTTCTATCACATAGAGCAGGCTTTAAAGAATTTAGACAAAGAGAAAGAAACGATTGATATGTTAGTAAATGAGTATCTAGAAAACAACAAAAGCGGTTCCACATCTATACAAAGGACTGCTGCACATATCAATGATGATATGCCGGTGCACAATTTCGAAGAATTTCTGATATTCGAAGAAACTTCCCTAAGGAAAGCGTTGCAATGTTATGAAATACAACTCAAACACATTTACTACCAATATGCAACTGTGTGTAATGACGACGAAATACACTACACCCCTATTATGATACGTTTGTACTTGTGGCAGTTCTATTATGACTGTAATATACATGAAAAACATCTGACACTGGTCGACATAGATCGGATTTTCCACGCTAACCCAGAATGGCTAGCCAGATCGCCACACAATCCGTTTGAAAAAATTTACTTCTGGCAATTCTTACATTGTCTTATATCCATCGCCAGTAAACTATATGCTAAGAGACATCTCCCAGACAAGAGGCCCGACACTATCTTAGCCTCGGGTTTTAGGACTTTTATGGAAAATGACGTTCTGCCTGGCGTGGGTCGTAAAAAGGGTTTGTGAAGAATTAACATTTAGTTTTAATTCACTTAAGTAGATATAGAGGTCGCAACTAATAGACATAGAAGACATTTTTTGGCAGCAAGAAAAGACAAGTAGATGATCTGATTCTGATTTTACGTGTTCTGAATTCTTAATTATTCTGAAAAGTTTCAATATTTATTTTAAAATAATAAATATTATTTGAACCTTTATTATTTTTATTAGACCTATACAATGACTTTTAAAAAGACTTTGTTGTAATGAAATTATAAAATACTTATACGTAACCTTTATTTACAGGCTACCTTACAAATGGGTACGGCTCGTTCGTACCTTTAAAGGGAGTGTACAGTCTTTATAGGTGTCTAGGGGAACCGTGTACAATGCGTAATTTTTTGTGTGCCATGCGCAGACCTCAACATTGTACCGATATGCCGCAGCCGCCTTTGAGAGAAGTTGACATTTTATTGGGCCGTAATGCATATGTCTTTGGTGACGAAATAACTTTTGTCGCAGGTATGAGTTTATCTTAAAAACTTTATAGATATCTTAAAGCTAAAGGAAATATCGTAATAAAAACCACTTAAGTTAACTTTTGTTTTAGAAAGCTTACAAACAGAAGAAGAATATGAGAAGCCAGAATTAAAATTGTTCAACATCAGCAATATTCCGAGCAAAACAGTTATATCGTATTTTGCAAATATTTTCCCACAAATTATAAAGAGCGATAAAATCATGAACCTGAATATAGAAATAACATTTTTTGAATTCTATCAAGTGTTTATCGCGTGTGTTGAAGAAAGTATTCAATTAAGAAATGAAGAATTCAAATATCAGGAGCATACCTCCATAAATAAATAAAATTATATTTAAAGCATGGACTACAATTACATAATATTATATTGTAATGTGGAATAGATTATATTTAGAGTAACGTCAGAAACTATTTCTCGATCTTTTGTTTTGTTGTGTCACATCAAACAAAATTTACGTCTTTGGAACGATTTGACACAAAATATTATAATTTTTATATTGTATGATAATAAATATTTTCTACGAAAACCCTTATAAAGATGAGAACAAAAAATACAATGGCTAAAAAGCCACAACAAATATTGTTTTCAAAAAACACCTACAGTCCCCGGGTGAAAGTAGAGAATTGGGATTTCGAGAGTCATGCAGAAAAGAAAGATAACTATGTGTATCGCGACAGTTTAAGCAATCACGTTAGTACATACACTCGTTGGGGAAATCAAGACCAGGGTGTCGGGAAAACGGAAACTCGAAGTATGCAAGAACAAGTTTTTATGAAGACAAATCCTATATATGCTTTTAAGCCCTTGGTTAATTTTACTTCTTATCCTTGCACTGAGTAAGTAAATATTATTAAAACCGTCAAATATATATTAAATTAAAGAAGATCTATACATAGAGACAGAGATAAAATATACGTAGTAGGTATACGCGAGTAGTACATACATAATTAAAACACTTTGAACGGCTTAAAACGCAAAATGTATTAGTTACAGCGTCTGGCCATAGTTAAAATAATTTGTAAATAATTTTAACAAGGTGAATCTATGTCTGGTCGTCTTTCGGTCTTTAGATACGAGGTTAAAAGCGAGGGTGCGCGTACTCTAATACATGTAGGTATACTTAATTGTCAAATATTATAAAAAAATATTGTACATTTTCTTAAGTTCGTTCCATAATATCGTTTCCGTTGAAGAACCGGCATGTCTGTTAACAAAAATGTTTCTTTCACTTCATTTGAGTTCGACAATCGAATAGACTCAAACCGAAAACTATTTGAATTTTCACAGTACCCCAGGTCGAAACAAATTGATGAAGAAAGCGAATTTAGCAGAATTACCTAAAGACTTTGGTGTCGCGGATTTTGTTAGCACACAACAAAATGATTACCGAAGCCCTTATCCAGGAGTGACGAAGCCGGTAAGGGGTTTTGTTTACAGTATGTTTTTTAAACTCTTCGAAAAGAATAACTCTACTTATATAACATAGTATGATAGATTGTTTGTAAGCAAAAAGAGTAATTTTGACTAACCCCGATGTATTGTTTATACTCTACGTATTAAACAGCGCCTACGACTAAGACTGTATTATTACTTTTCACGTTCACAGTTAACAATGGCGTCTCCTACGTGGCTCCTCAATCGCGTTATACGATCGGATTTAACACATAACCACGGAACCAGAGAAAATTAACATACGCCTATCTATATTAGAAATGAGACTCTTTGATATAATCCTTCAACCATCTACTTGCCTTCAAGATTTTCCACACTAATGAAATTTAGTTTTTGGAAAAAAAACTCAAAACTTTTACGTTTTGAATTTCAATTAAATACCGACAATACTTAAAATTATTTTTATTTCATACCTTCACAAACATACTTAAAAACTAAATGAGAATTATGACGCAACAATGTTAAAAAACAAATAAGAATAAAAAACGTTTAAATGAACTTAACATATACTAATTATTGATTTGGAACAAATCGGATATAGTATTATATTATAGGTTAATTCTACAGGCCATTTTTGTATGCCAGCAAGAAATTTAAGTTTGCCCTTTCAAACGAGCTACACGTAAAAATGAAACTTAAGAAAAAGAAACAGACAATAATGACAATATGTTAATTTTCGTCTGTCATGATACTAAACATTTTAAGCTTCATGCTCTATTATTTTAAAAATCTTAATAAAGAGTAAAAAGTTATACCTAAATTCTTAATAAATTCAAAAAAATTTTCTTCAAGCCGGTTATATTTAATTAATCTTTCAATATAAATTAACATATATGTAAAATTATTTAAATAGTTTTTAAATTAGATAAGTTAAATACTCTATTATTTTATTTTATTTTAAATATAAAAATTACTAGAGCCGGTACTTTTTTTTATTTTATTTATATTTAATATGAAAGCATAAAAATCCCAATAAAATCTTTTTAAAATTAATGTAGAGTTTATATAAATGAAAATATAATATTAGGAAGTAAATAAATAAAATACAATATACCCTGTTTTAACTTTCAAATACAATTTTGATCATCTAGACTTTTATTTTATCTATCAATATAATTTATTTTATTCCTTAATTATCTATTATTTTCATTTATTATATATTTGTTGCAGTGTCAAATGATTCTAAAAGTACAACTAAGATAAGTTAAAGGTAAAATGAATTGACAATAATATTATTAAATGTAAAAAGAAATTGATTCTATAATTTTAGCCACCATAAATAATATATAAAGACTGATGTTAAATAAAACTTCTTTAAATAAGTTCAACCATTAAATCCTTTTAATTCCGATAGTTTTTAGAATGACCAGAAACATTGACTCATGGTCATAATTCATGAAGTTCACAGTTAAACTCATAAGTATTTAATGTGTACTACTCGCATATTAAAGATATGACGTAAAATAAAAGATATTTGATATTCCTACCTAGATAACAAAAAAAATCAAACCAAAATAAATATACCACTAAGAAAGCTAACTAACCAAGCTGCCAGTAGGTAAGTGCTCCATTTGAAGACTAGACATAGGCCATCCTATTTTATATCCTAGTTTCTAATACCGTAATTTAACATATTAGATTTTATAAACAGGAATATCTGTGTACTTTACTTAGCACATCTTTTAACCCAAACTTATGTAAACAGATGTTTATAAAAATATAACTTTCAATGTCCTAATAACTGTTTGCTCTGCACACTAATAGCAGATACAAAGAATTTTATTAATTATTAAAAATTCATACCAACTAAATTTATTAATTTAAAAAATTACTTCTACACTTTAATTTATATCAGTCACACAACATTTTGTATGCTGAGACTATACAGAGTTAATCTAATGAGTTTTCCTTTTCTTGAAACCTTTACCTTTCTTAGATTTAAGTTTGTGCTTTCGTGAAATAGAACGACTTCCTGTTATTTCATCAGCTAACATACCCACTGTTGTCAATTTCTTCCTGTGGTTCTTTTCAGCTTTAGTAACTGGTAAACGGGTAAGATAATTCTCTTCATATTCTGTTTTCTCCTGTTCCCGTTTAGATATTGAATGTTTTACATAGTTCCCCGTAGTGACTTCTGTAGGAGCTTCGGAGTATTCATCTCGAAGTTCTCTCATAACACTTGAGTTTAAGAATTGTTTTTTAGCTCGTTCTTTATTCTTTTCACTGTTTATTTTAGGGATATTCTCTTCATAGTGTACTGCAGCTAGTTTGGGAGGAACATAAATATTTGTCTTGTTGTCTTTAGATTTGTCATCATCGTCTGAAGCCTCACTTGAGTCCTCTCCGTCTTTACCCACTTTGCTCATCAAATTTCCTGGATTGGCATGATATGACTGTGGATCATCTTCTGATGTCGCACCAACCACTGCAGTTTTAACTAGCTTATCGATTTGGTATTTCAACTTAGAATCTATAGGACGTATCTTTTCAAGTACAGTTCTTATCTCTATTAGTCTGTCAATAGATGGATCTGACTCAATTTTTTCACCAGAGCATTTTCTTAGCACAATATAAGTCAAGTTGATTAAATAGCTTAATAACATTTGATATTTCATTTCTAAAAAGCTCAATCCCTTATCAGTCGACATTTCACCGTGTTTCACCCGAATTAACATATTATCAATAAGGGAGGATACTTGTTGCACATTCGTGTTCATTTCCTTTAACAAATTAATAGCTTGAGGCAAGTCTGGAACCTCCACTTCGTCTGTTGCCTGAAATCATATATTATATTTAAGAAATATATAAATATATACCAGAAAATAAAAGCAAGTAAGAAATGTTTTATTTCAGCACTAATTTATTTATAAGACATGTTGACCAAAGGAACTATTCATTACGTACCTGAACCATGATGCTTGTTTTGGTTAAAACTCTGAATAACCTCTTTTGTTATAATAAAACGAAACAAATAATATAAGAAAATAGTATCAATATGTTACAAAAACGAAAATTAAAATACGGTAAAGACACTGGATGCTGGTGTAGGAAATGTAGGAACATTATCAGGTTAACATTCGAAAATAAAATTAATAAAACGAATGCAAGCGCAAGGGTATAACATTGCCACAGATGACAGTTGCAGTGAACATTTTAATCTATATCTATGGACTAAGCATAGATAAACAAAATAATAACCATAGACTCATGTCTTATCATAGTTCTCCACAGATGATATTTCAGTTTTACGAACTGGGACTGTATATCGGATTTTGTTATTTTGCTTTTAGCGTAGGTACAAAGTGACGGGAATTGTTCTCTGTCCTAACATGTTTGGAATTTTCATATTGATTAACACTATGTAGTTTTTGAAATTTTAGCATATAAATCGTCATTTTGATCTAATTAACATGGAAATAATAAATAGTTAATGTTCTATGATATGCTTTATTACTATTACACACCTACATAACAAGCTATAAATATTGCATTTAGGTACATGATTTTTCTTTCATCATAAATTGGGCCAAGAAACTATTTAAAGTTTGATTTATTTATTATATGAGAATTATCCTGCTTGTGCGTTGTAATTTACGGCTCACGACTTTTAAATCCAATGAATGCAATCATTAAGACAGTTATGACTCGTTTAGATAAAGGAACAATCTGTGAATGGCAGATTCATAAGCTGCCTCTGTCTATATCGCAAAGCGTGGACAATTTACACTGTCACACGCTCATTTTAATTTAGTAATTTGTGTGTTGTCAAATACATCAATGGTAATTTTTTTCATGAGGCTACTAGTGCACCATGAACAGGCCGCCATTCATACACTATAGATTGTGTCTGTATCTGAACGAGGAATACAACATACATATATAAATATTTCACACATGATCCTGATAACAATGTGTACAATATTCCAATTATGACACGACCTCAGCAAATGAATTTAAGAAGCAGATAATAAAAGTAATAAAATAATTAATTGTACTTATTTCAAAAAGTGATGATTGATTTTCTATAAATCTTACAAGATTATCATATTTTTATGAGCAACTAAGCATTGCATAGTGTATAGTCTATTCTGCCCTGCGTTACCAAATTAAACTTTTAAGTACCTAATTGGTACCACTATAGTTAACGTCAAAGTGCTTATAAACACGTATTACTAACTATGGACAATAGTAGATGTGTTACCAACTCTTTATTTTAACGTATCTACAAGCGTCTGTAAATATAATCTTACATTCATATTAAGACGAATATATTTAATGAAATTCGTACAATGAAGATCTGGGTATTCAACAATTTGATCGCACAAGTTTGGATATAAAAATTTAGACACTCGGGCGAAGAACGTCATGTTACTATGTAATTGATTAATAATGCTAAATTGATGCCTTAAAAAAATCATTGTAATTATATCGTCCATTCATTTTCTTCATTTGGAATCTTCAATAGTTTTAATCCACTCAAGAAGATGGAGAACACCATATCTTCCAATTTAATTCGATACATTCTTTAAAATACATTCCGATTAGTCAATTTTTACTGCCCCATATATTCTTCTTATAAATGTATATGCAGCGAAAAACCCTATTGTGCCAGTCAACAGCCAAAATGTTAAAACCATTAGTCCTGAAAAGCGAAAGCTATGGTCAAACACAGAGCATTATAGCAAAGGTAAAAGATTTAAAATGTAAAATTATACAACATAAATATCTTTTGTTCGTTGGATACGTCCATGATTATTTATTAATTGCCTTAAAGCGTTAACAATTATCATAATCTAATTTAAACTTCATTCATTAATGTAATTTTGAATAACAAATTAGTTCTGTTGTTGAAATTGCATACCTGTATAACCAACATAGAGCAAGGTTGGTATGAATTCTGTTATTTCTAACTTTGTGAAAAAATAAAATACAGAATATATCAAAATGTACACAGCTGAGCCTCCTGATACTATGAAGCTCTTCCACCACCAATGATAATCCTGAAATTATCCATAACTTGGCATAAGACTTTGTTTTTTTTTATATAAAGTACAGTGTAAACTCTTTATAACGAAACTTAAGGGACTGAGCATTTTTTGTCGTTATATGGAGTGAACAAAGAAAAACAAATTAACAAGAATTTTTAATTGTATGTATGTCTTAGATAATAAATGCTTATACATATAAATTATTGTTTGCACATATAGTCTGATAATTTCGTCTGACGTTTTCTGCTATGCCAGTACTTGTTTTGTATTATTTTATGTATTCTATTCATATCTTGATATGTGGTGAAATCGTCTTGATTAAACAACAAAAATTATTCTACCAACTTAGCTGATAACATAACATAAACAATAATACCGATAATAAATATTTACTGTCTAAAAATATGAACACATTTCTTCGTAATAGAGAATGGCGTATCGCTATTAAGAGTGTTTCAATATGCGAGTCTTAACGCAAGCCAACCAACTTGGGCTCACTCCAAAGTTATAAGTAGTTTATCACTATAAAGGATAACGTTATAAAGAGTTTACACTGTATATATAATATTATAGTATACAAAATAAGTATATTTGTTTTTATTTAGAGCTAACAATGTAAAGATAACTTCTTACCTCTCCACAAAGCTGGAAGTAAACCATAACAATGGAAATTTGTGATACAGACACAACTAATATACAGAATACTAGAAACAGGAATCCAAACAAATAATAAAATTGATTCTCCCACAGAGCACTAAAGATGAAGAACAGTTCTATAAAAACTGCTCCAAATGGTAAGATACCAGCCATAAGGATACTGAAAAAAAGGAATCAATATTTAGCAATTGTTTAGTAAAAGGCTTCAAACTTTATTCGATGTTGCATGCGATCTATTGAGGTACAGTCAAAATAGTCTGTACCATAAAATATTTAGTTATTGACTTTTAAATATAGATATATATATATATATATCAAATATAGATATATATATTTAGCAAAACATTGTGAACCATTCTCTACATAAGGGCTCTACAATCCAAAGAACCATAAAGATATATTTAAAGAAGAGATTGACTTACCAAATGAATATATTCATGTACCAGACTTGTTCTGGCACCTTTCTTGGTATAAAATTTGTTCGCACAGGGTGTTGGAAGGGCTGTTTTCTTATTCCAAAATAATACCCCAAATACACTAAGGGAAGAGAGATGCAGAACCATAGACAAAGGAGTGCCATCATTGTAGAGAATGGAACTGCACCACTGGAATGTTTACCCATAATGAAAAAATTGAGAAAGAAGCATTTTCCAAATACTATTGCAGGGTATAGGGTGGCAGTTAAAAATGCTGCTTGTTTCCACTGTTTGCCTCTCATGGTATTATATAACCGCGCAGAGTAATAGCCCGCGATCAAACCCATAAAAACATAAAGAAATATAGCTGCTGTCATCAATGCTCCTCGACTCGCTGGTGAAAGCATACCCAGCATCGCAATAACTGTAAATAAAAATTAACTCTTTATATTACATATTACCCGTAAAATTACAAGTTTTATATTAACGTAAGCCACAAGACACATGTCGTCGAGACATTACACAATTTGCTTTAAAATTTTTTTTTTTTTATTTTAAAAAACTTACATATTGTAATAAGTGCCATTAGAAATACTTGAATTCCATTTCCAATAATTGCAGCAAAGAGCATTCTGCGAGGAGGAGGTCGAAATACATCACCATGAACAAGTTTCCAACCTGTCTCTTCAATCAAATCTTCTATGTTTTCATCAGAATTATATTTTGCTATATCTCGTCGTAATGTACGTACCATAATCATAGTAAGAATACCTATAAAATAAAATTCACATTTATTACAAAGCTATGTTATAATATTTTGTGTGTAATGTTTGAATAATATAATTTGTCTTTGTCATATTTACCTGATAAAAAGAACAATACAACTATGGAATTTATAATAGAGAACCAATGTATTTGTACATCTTTCATTCCTAAATATATGTCCCATCGAGAAGCCCATTGTATATCCGACTCGCCCCATTCCACAGAGTATGTAAAATACAATTTGGTTCCAGTATCTTCATTGACTAGTTGAGGCTTTGCTGACAATGGAAACTGACAGGAGTCATCAATAAACACAAGTTCATCCCTTGCAACTGAAGTAGTTTCTACTTCAAACCCAACAACTCTGTATGAATCTCTGCAATAGATGTTATAGAAGATGTGATATTTACAATATTTCTATACTTTAGAGCCCAGCAAATTTCTAACTAAAAATAGTAATGATATGTAATTTCAAATACCAGCTTAAGACATTTTTAACCATAAACTGTTTATAATGTTAAAATAAGCAATCTCTAAGGGTTCTTGTAACAGTTATATGATAATGCATTTCTATGAAATATATTAAATGTACATACATGCACAAATATACTGTAACATTAATACTCACTGACTGTGTTTGTGATACTTTAATAACAATTTTAAATGGTTGTTTATATATGCTTTCCCTTTTGACATAAATCCAAGTCTATATCCTTGTTCAATATTTTTCTCTGAAGTTTCTCGGTTGATAATCTTTGTGGCCACTGGTAAATTATCAACTAACCTTTACAGAATAGAATATTTTTAATTATAAATATTGATATTATGCTTTAGTACATAAAGAGTTTAATTTTGTATTCGTACTTACAAATGTACAAAATATTCATGTTCAATTCTACTTGCAACAGTTTCAGATTCCTCCACACTCCAATTCATTGGCTCATTTTTCTTATGACACAAAAGTCTACATTTTATATTTTCTGCCATATTAACTTCATAGTTTGTGCTAACTATACGATCACCTCTTAACACTTCACCTAAATTTTCAGATTTATAAATAATAGTCCCATTCTTGGGCCTGCATAGAGGTAATGAATAATATTCATATGGTAGTTGCGTGTGAATACTTGTCATTTTAACAGCTTTTACTTCGATCTTTTGGCCCTTCTTATACTCCACTGGTGCAACTCCGGGCACATAAAAGCCATGGCAGAATACAAAATTAATAAAAAAAAGGCAGATCTGAAACCGGTAAAGATATAAATAGCTTAAATATTTAATGGAAGTGGCGATTAAGACTGAAAATCTTACCCGAACAGAAAACATTTTTGTTTATTTATCGAACTCCTTTTATTTTTAAATTATTTTTGTCTTTCTCATTTTGTCGTAGTGCAGATAATTTCAGTTATATATTTTATTCAAATTTTCACACTAAATGTTTTGAGATATTCTTCTTTCACCCATACTTTTATAATGCATTATTCATTTTACATGGTAAAATCATTGACGAACTAAACGAACAATTGTTTATTGAATGTAGATTAAATGACAATGATGACAATTAACTGGTAACTGATTAGTTCTATAGTGATCTGTGAAGGATGTCCTGTAGATCGGTGACAGTAGATACTTATTATTTATTAAGTATAAACTATATATAAAGAGATATTCTTTTAGATGATGATAGACTTTTTCCCTATCTTCTTTTAAACTATATCAAATTAATTTTATATCACCATATTTTGTTTTAATTATTCCAATTATTGCAGTAATCGATATTTTATTTATAATTGTCAATGTCAGTTTTCTGTAATTATGATTGATATGACATTGGCATTAGGTATTCGATATTATGATGTCAAAAATGGCCGGGCATTGACTGTCATTTCAATACAAATATTTATTTTTTACAAAATTTTAATAGAATTCTTATTAGTTTTTAAAATTCTGTATGTTTTAAAATGGAAACCAAAGTAGCTGTAGTCACTGGTGCAAACAGAGGTCTAGGTTTTGAAATCGTAAAAGGTTTATGCCAAAAGTTTAATGGTGCTGTTTACCTCACATCTAGGGACGAAGAAAGGGGCCAAAAAGCCGTCCGAGATCTAGAAGAATTAGGGCTACACCCGCTTTTTCATATTTTAGATGTTACAAGTGATGAGAGTGTTGAAAAATTTGCTTCGTTCATAAAATCCCATCATGGTGGAATCGATGTTTTAGTAAACAATGCGGGTATTTTGGACTTTGATAAACCAATTTCCTCTTATGAAGACGCAAAGAAGCTTCTCGATACGAATTTTTATAGTCTTTTAAAAATATCTGAACATTTATATCCTTTATTAACCAACAGTGCTCGTGTTATTAACATTAGTAGTGATTGGGGTCTGCTGTCAAATATTAGGAAACAAATTTGGTTGGATACATTGATAAAAGACAATTTAACCCTTGATGAAATATTACAGTTTGTGAATGATTTCCTACAAGCAGCTAAGAATGGAAGAAATGCATTTGGTGCATTTGCTGGAAATTATGGTGATTATAAAGTCTCAAAAGTAGCACTATCCGCTTTGACTTTTGTACATCAAAAAGAATTTGTCAGGCTAGGTAAAGATATATCTGTGAATTGTGTCCATCCTGGATTTGTTAAGACGGACATGACAAAAGGGATGGGAAATTTTACTCCAGAACGTGGTGCTAGAGCTCCTTTGTACTTAGCATTGGAAGCTCCACAAACACTTAAGGGTACCTTTATTTGGCATGATTGCCATAAAGTCAACTGGGATGATTGAAGAAATTATGTTACTTGTTATTTTCATTCCTGTGATAATGTTAAGTGTCACAACACTTTAAAACTAATTATATTATGTTTTTTGGACTTAGACTTTTATTTAAAGCTTTATATTAATCATAATTTTTACCTTTTACCTTACCCATACCTAGCAGAATTATTTAAGCTGGGGGCATCAACATGAGAAATGTATTGTAAAGGAGTTTTTTAATAGAGAGTATCAAATTAATAATAATATTGGATTCCGTCGTTCAATTATATACCTTTCGTAATTATCAGACTGAGTAGTAAACCTAAATATAATCTAGCAGTTACAGAGATTTTACCTACGGCCCGCGTAGGGGTCAATGAAACAACATACACCTAATACAAGTAGAACGATGTTGTCAAATGTTTAAATAAAATAAGTAAAAAACTACGTCTTTCATATCGATACATGCCTGACCGTCTCGTCCCGGGGGGACTTGTAACCACATCGTATCGTGCTACTGCTCTAACCAATTGCAATGTGGAAGTTATGTAGATTGAGTTCTATATCAAAAGTAAAATTTTATTTTATCTCGGCTATGTAGATTGAGTTCTATATCAAAAGTAAAATTTTTTTTATTTTTTATAATACTAGAGAACTTAACACTAACAGTTATAAATAATTTAGAACAGAATTAATCTAAGTTCTATATATGGTTATAATAAAGAATATTTGTGTCATTTTATCAATCATTGGAGGAAATACAAGGCATTCGACGTACTAAGAACAGGACCTAGTGTTAGCTTGGCTCCAATACCTAAAATTCGTATTATTTTTATAAATCTTATTTACAACGCCTATTTCATTTGAATATGTACGTTATATGGGTTCTCTTAGTTACAAACATAATTCCATTAAGAAATCGTGATGGTGGCCCTCGCAAGGGGTGGTGCACAAACAGCTTATCGTCTTACACATGCAGCAATAGAAACCTTTGTATGGCTGTATAGGCGTTTCATTTATTTGAAGCCATTTTACTTTATGTTAAGGGGTTAAGCTGGACTTAACAAGGAAATAAATTATACTGAACATATTAGAAACAATTATTAAAATGTCTAGGCACTATATAGCAAATAATAAAATATATTTATACTTGGTATATCTTTTTAATTAAAACTTCAATACTTTATACAATTTTTACTTATTCTAAATTATTATTATTTGACTTTCCGACTTAAGGCCGTTGTTATAACTATTTTAAAAAATGAAACAATATTGGATCGCACCTACTTTAATGGTTCGTCGTATCGGTTTAACCACGTTAACCCTCGATTAGATACTCTTAAATACAAATTAGAATCTAACTAATTAATACCAATAAAAACAGTTAGTTTCTGAAGAAAAAATATGAAAACTTAGTTATATAAATAGTCGTTGATTAAAAATAATTATACAGAGAGAACATTTACAAAATGGTTTTTTAAATGTTGATATGTTTATTTACACCATTTAAATTGTCTCACTTTCGTTGGTACAGTTTAGACGAAGAGAATTTATTTTTAGCATTTATGTTTAGTCAACTTTTAGGATAATTCACGGACTATATTTCAATTTCAAGTACTTACCTATTTTCTACGCTCTTTGGTGGTCTAGCTATCTTTTACCTTTTAATGTCGGTAAGTATTCTTGTATAGGTGCTTACGTTTAAGGTAATAATGTACTTGAAATATTTCATAAACTAAATGGTGATTGTGATAATAAAGAACGTTAATATTTAATTTGGTGATCCTACCAAATATAGCAATGGTTTACAAATGACTTATTATTATTATTAACACGCGTACATCACAACATTTAAGTATTAATAAAAAAGGCCCGCGTAGGTAAATCACGAACACGAATCACATTTCTAACATTGGTAACAAACAATTTTTATAAGATCTGGTAACAGATGGTAGCTTCAATAGGTAATTTAAATCAATTGTTAAAAAATAACGTTTTACATAAACACAATTCGTAATAATTTAGGTAATTAATTCTAGAATTTTCTTAAGTAGAAGAAGAATAAATAAATGACAAAATTATTACAAATACCTAAGGATACAAAACAATCCCTTTGTAGTTTTCAGAGTTTTCCTAAATACAAAGCGTTTTACACTAGACTACACGACACTTTCCTTTGGTTTACATTGGACTCCATTTATAAACTATTTCCGACAATCTTCCGCAATAAAAATACTCCATACATAACTGAACTTACTTAAAATCAATAAAATGAAACCTGGCTTATAGCTTTCATGTTGTATTGATTGGAGCTGATTGTTTAAAACTTACGCATTCGTTAATTAGTATATCTATTCGCCTCAGATCCTAGAAGACCTAAAAATCGAAGTGAAGAATTTTTATAAATAATTGTCGCTAGGTGTATAATTAAGATCTTATTACGTATAGGCACAGTCATTCTAATATTATATTTTCGTACTATTACGTATTATTACGTAATATTTCCATACTTAATACATACTTCGTTACGTATTTTTAACAGTAGCAAGTACCAGGACGGATGGACCAAACTGTACAATTATACACCACAACTGCTCTACGTTGTATTATTGTAATCATTACTACCCTTAAATCTGTGTACGCGATACATCTTAGCGCAAGGTTATTTACCATTTAGAAAAGTATTCAAAATAAATGCGATACAGGCAATAATCATATTCCCTCGTTGATAAAAAAAAAACTTAAGTTTAATTCCAAAAGAAAAATGTTTGGAACATTTTAATTATAAGCTGTCATTTGCATTGAACACGTGAACGTTTATTGTCGGACCTGATTTTAAAGTTACTTATATGTTCAATATGCGATAATTTTACTTCAACCTAGACGCATCGAATAAAGGTATCTTTGGTAACTGGCTTGTAGCAAAAATCAATATTAATCTGTTATTAATTCTTAACAACGGGCGCAATGGGGGTAGTATCTTCATTGTAGTATCTAAAGCAACTAGCTGTTGATATAGGATTACTTGACAGAGGTTCCACAGCATCAGAATGTTGCGAGTCCCTGTGACGACGGAGATCAACTTTGCGTTGAAATGCTTTATCACACAGTCCACAGGAGAAGGGCTTGTAGCCTGTGTGTTTACGCATGTGTGTGATAAGATTCGAGCTCTGGCTGAACGCTTTTGAACAAACCACGCATTTGTGAGGTTTCTCTCCTGCAACAAAAAAATAATAATTACACTAACGTTCAATCTAGTATATTAGTAGAGGGATCTTTTTGCTCTACTTGGCGTATCGGGGAGACAATTTTCTGTTACTGTTTTAATTCAATTGTTTGGTTTAACTAACACACATTTCTGTTCTTTGCCCGACGGAAACTCTATATGTTTTCCCAATGTTTGTATCTATTAGACTTAACCATTGAACAACAGAAGTGGTAAAATACATTAAATTGTATATGGGCAAGCGGACCTATTTTATATCAATATATCTGGAATAAGTATTGAAAACAATCGATATTGGAATTACAATTAAAATAAGTGAACAGTTAAGCAAAGAAAAACACGAATGGTGTCCTATAGATAGAACAGGATTTAAATTGTCTTTTTGCTTGTGGTGTGATCGCACGTGAAGGTCTGCGAAGGCTGAGCAGCTAATTGCAGGCCAAGCCGCATTTTGGAATATTGATGATGAGGTATTTATCGGACGAACCAGTGCCTTGTACGGCAACTGTAAATCATTCGGAACTATGCGCAGACGTGACGAGATGTCTCGGGCAAGACAAATATGTCCAACGCGGTTTTTTTGATAGTTCAATTCATCCCGTCGGGCTCGAAGTGGTTTAAAAGACAATAAATTTATTTGATGTGTCAAAGACATTGTTTCATAGCACCAAGGTCACCATGAAACATGAGTGTACAAATATTTACTTCTCCATACATAAACAGTACTTTATAAATATATAACTAGTCTGTATTAAACAATACTAAATAAGTATCATATAGTCTACGACAATTATGTGCTGAAACCAAGAACGCTATTTCGTGACTTTTGTATTAAAAGGTTCCATCTTGCCACGATTAGATCAATTTTAATTCATATTAAAGTTCTCATGTCCGAAAACAGGGAGGCGATTCTAAAAAAATGAGCAATGAACTAAGTTGACTATTGTCACACATTAGACATAACAAGCGACTTATATCGACGTAAATCTCGCTTCAGAATTGCCCCCGTGATAAATGCCACCGGAAAACAGTAGTTGTTAACAGCTTCTGCCTTCTACATTTATTTAATTGTGACCTCTTCGATAACAACGGGGATGGGTTGCGGCGATGGGCGAACTGTTTTTTGCTCATTGAAAATTCATTAACGCTTTATAAGCCGCGTCCGACTGCGATTTACCTTCGTAAGTTAATTGCATAGTATTTATGAATAATGCCAGTAAAAAATATGAAGAGTGACAGTAGTAGGGATTGAAAATTAATAGCTTGTTAGTCACATTTAAAACAAAAACTATTAGTGCATTTCCCCGTCTAAAAGTCTCGTTTCAATCTAGCGTATAAAATGCTGATATGATTTCTAAGAAAAAATGTCAAGCGGTTCCTAATTACATGAGTGATATATTTTATAAACTTTTACAATCCTTTAGTATATCGCGTATTGACTATTATTAAAACCACGGCAGTGTATTTAAAAACTCAACATAATATAATATAACTTAAATTATTTATGATTAAACGCCGTTGTGCAATCCGCGCTCGTTAGTTTCATCGTAGTAGGATTATACTTTTTCAAAACTCAAAGTCATAAATGTTTGCCGTTATCATTATATCGGTAATTTTGAATCAAAGCTAATTGATCGTTCATTGAATTAATAACTACCTTCCTTCTAATTTGGATATTGTGAAAATTGTTCATAAATACTTCGAAACATCAAAAATAATGTCCCTTACTTCAGTAAAGTGTGAAACTCAAATTACAGTGATAACTTCCTAAACTTTTATGTTTCAGTCATGAAAAGCAGATGTAATATTGGGTTGTTATGCTATTAACTGGAAAAACGTAGTTAATTCTCTTGTTACAAGTTTCATTTCGAAGTTTCTACTATAGACTTGTTATATCAGTGATTTAACATACCTATATACACTTCTCGCTCATTAAAGGGTGACATATACCGTTTAATGAGCGAGAAGTGTGTTAAGTGAGTTTATAACGATTTTTTTTATATTCAATTACACTATAATCTCAATTTTAAATCAATACATAAACCATATATAAGTAAGGTGTCGTAGGTTGAAGAGCAACGGAAATGTCGGCTCATAATTAAGTCTTTTGCTAATATAGTCTGTGTTTTAACTTGTTCAAACTGGCTTTATTTAAAATTTGTTAACGATTGCTATTAAATAACCATAAGCGAAAACAATAAACCTTACCCGTATGTATATAGGTATGTTTCTTCATGTCCGACTTCTGGTGGAATCTCTTCCCGCAGTACTGGCAAGGATAGGGCCTGGTGTCAGAATGGATCAAAAGATGAGTAGACAGGGTACTGCTCCGCTTGAAGCATTTGCCGCATTGCTTACACTGCACACACAAATATATATATTTACACATATATATATATATACAGTCTAGAAGTAGTAAATTCATTTATTGTAATGAGTTTATTTATATATGGGTGTTACTTATGGGTGGATTAGTAGCTACAAAACGGAATTATTTCAGTATAAAAGTAATTATTTCGTACTTCGAAAAAAACTGCGTTATTCTTGAAATTATAGAATTATAGAAGAGAGAATTATAGAATTGATAGTTAAAAAATCACTCAGACGCAACCTCTAAACATATCGATTTACTAATTTATTTTATATATTTAAAATTAAAGACAGTGTTTAAAACTTTATTTTATTTAACACAAATAATCGACAATCTTTATAACCACTGTAGAACCGTCTCTGTTGCCAAATGGTTAAACGTATTGCCTAGGATTGCGTTATGCGCAAGAGGTCCTGGGTTCGAATCCCAGGGGAATAAAAAAAATTGTTCCGGTCTGGTAGGGCACAGAAGTCTGATCAACTACTTGCGTGTTAAAGAACGGATCAGTAAAACGGACACAAAATGTGTTCGCCCCATGCCCCACGAGTGGGAAACGAGATTTCACATACATTATAACCATTACAATTTTATTGATAAATACCTAGTACTGTGTACTTTTCAACGTCTGTTCAACGTGGACAGCCAGTAATAATAAAAATATAATTACAGGGTGGTTTACCCCTTGCTTCTCTACATTTCTTTGATTTCTTTCTACACTTATTTCTTGTCAATGTAATTAAAGCGAGTTAAGTTGTTATTATAGTTTGTATTTTAAATTTCCTACGCTCAGAAAGTATTGATTTGATCACTAAAGTGTGTTAGTCGTTGCTAGCGGTACAATATTAAAGTCAACAATGTTAATGCATTCTTAACAAATAGATACTATGTCGATAGGTATGTGCCATCCAGGGCTATTGTACAAAGGATTCATAAGCACGTTTTTAGATTTATTTGTACAGTTGTTCTTAGAGCTGAATAGAATAACATCTACTTATGAAGCCGCGTACGTGTATTTTATACTTTAGTTGAACTAGAAAGTTATTGTTAATGAAGGCTAACAATAAGAATAGATTAAATACTGTCTATAGTTTACGCCAGTAGTACACATTTAAATAAAGCACTTTAACGGTTTAAAACGCGATATATTAGTTAAACTTATTTGAAAATGATTTTTAACTTCGGTCCTCAATCATTTTCAAATAAGTGTAACTTACATATCACGTTTTAAACCGTTAAAGTGTTTTATTTTAAATTTAATATTTTCTTGGAAAAGCCTAAATAAGGAATTAATATTTCGTTCCACCCTGGATATGAACCCGGGATTCTAACCACTGGACCACATGTGTTAATTATTCATATGAAGGAATAAATTACTGGCTCTAATTAGTTACTAACAAATTATAACAGAGATTGCTTTAGTATTGTTTAGTGGATACTAAGAGTCCTTAAAATAATTTTTGCTGCTATTTATCGTGCGGTTAGCCCGTTAAGTGCAGCAAATGGTAACTGAAAACAAATCTGCGCATCGGCTCTGTGACAGTTGGGCAGGCAGCTGCCTCGCCTCGCGCCAACAAAAACTTCTAGTTTTTAGATTACCTTTTTATGATTCTCTTATAAGAAACACAGGTGCCGGGGTGAGACCATCCCCATATGGTTATCAGTTTTTTAAGCAATCGATACCCAGAGCGACGCAACTGCCTTGTTAGATTGATGATCAAAAAATCTGACCGCGTATTTTTCGTATAACATCGGAGGACAGACGAACATGATTAAGTTTATTGGAAGGAAATACCTCAGCCCTTTAACATTTAAATAGATTCTGGTGTCAGCCTATTTTGCATTAGGAAATCCGAAATCTACAGCTAACGGTTTTTAATTAGAAACGGTGCATGAACCACAGTTTTTATCAATTTTGATTTTTTTATATATTACATTTGTAGTGATCTGTGGTAATGAATGGTGGATCTGGTGCGAATCGAATCTATGTCCCGTTAATGCCATGCTTTGTTAGTTATATTATTATTTATTACGCTTCATATTAGTTTTATATTCGTAAAATTTCTTAATAATTACACAAGACTGACAAGAACATCTAAAACGTATAATTGACAGAACGGTAAAACGTTAATCTGTTTATGAATGTTTCTACAACTCGTTCGGTTTTGTTTTTGCTGTAAAACAAAGAAAAACATGGAGCCGATAATATTTTAATAAGTATGCTCAATGCAAAAAGACGCGATCCGTAACCTCGACCAACATACTCGCAGGACTTGGGACTTGTTTCGATACGAGAGTACTTATTAAGACAGGAGCAGCTTTTGCTATTTGATTTGTAAAAAAAGAAAATTGCCGATACTGGTTTGCTATTAAAAGCTTTTCGAACGGAAATTATACAGTTATCCACATCTCGTTAAAGGATGTCGCGCTTCATTGACTGGCTTATAGAATTATTTTCAATGCATTATTAAAATAATGATTGATAAAGCCCTCGCTTTGTTTAACAATTTAGGTCTTCAGGTGGACTCTACCTGAAGATCATCCAATTGTGAGGCCGAAATCCGAAGTGTGAGAAATTCACATGCGTCATCCAAAAAAAGGGAAACTATACTATATAAAGTAAGTAATATAAATGGTTTTTTGTACGAACCTGAAATGATTTTTCATTTCTGTTTTCGTTTTTGAGTAGTAGCGAGAAGTTGATATCTGATGACGGCGCCTGTTGGTACGCTTGATACCCCGGTGTGGATTGACAATTTCGGGTGTCTGAACTGGATATGCATTCTTCATCAGGACTGCTACGACATCTCTTCACCAACTCGAGAGGTGCGTCGATGTCTTCCTGTCCATCCCATTTCCCGATCGACGAATCTGTGTCCCGATCTTGGTCGCGTTCGCAAGCGCTTCCCGGGGACCATATTTGGCGATTTTTCGTCGATAAATTCAAAGGCAACTCTTCTTCGTCGTCTGAAACAAGAGACATTGTATTCACACTCCATGTCGAATAAGTTGAATGTCAGCCGGGTCAAGTAGAATGTCTGTTAAAATCTGTACAGCTGTGAATGCAATATTATTTATTTATTACGTCATCACTTCCAATCACTTTTATGCAATTCTTTAGTTAAATAATATTATTCTCGTAGATGAGTAATGAGCAATGAATTGGAGTAGATAATTTACCAAAAAAAACAGCTATATGATATGACTATATTTATATGCTGATGGTGTATATGTGTGTTTTCTTTGTGCTAGAAGAAGATCACTAGACTCTTATGAAATTATAAAATGGAAAATAGGTATTATATGTACTAGAATTTATAATGATTTATAATTAATGAAGAATTTAGTTTCCATTAACAATATGATCCCAACAAATTCTTTTCCTTTGTTTTTTAAGCCTTGTTAGTTTTATTATTAAAAGTCTACTTAATTTCAACTAGGTAATAAATTTAAAGCACGCTTAAAACGATTAACGGAATTAAGTGACTATTAAGTTAAAGGTAAACTAAAATGATTTTCTTCGGAAAATCGAAAAGAATACGTAAGCAAGTCGATACCGTCTTTGGAGGTAAACGACATGTAAACGACGCCCTATCACCGGTACGTGTTATTAATCGCAGTAACAGCACTGATAACTATTCTAATGAGGGAAACACGAAAAGTCGAGCGTTAAAGAGGCCGAGGTAAGCATAAGTTTTGATAACTATTGTATTCGGTATTTCTTTGGTGATTTGCCGGAAATTTGAACGATTTCAGTGATGATAATAAAAATTTTAATTAAGTTTTCTGTGTAAACAAGGTCACTTGACGTCAATCCTGATAGGAGGGTATATTTTATCAACGCTCGAATAATGGTGCTGAATGCTGACAAAAAACGAGTTCTTTAAATCTTGTAGGGTTCTTCGTAAATGTAGCGTTATATTTACCATCGCGGGGTGGTGTTTGTCTCATGTGCTCGAGGGATGGATTGAAATGTGGTGACGTTCTTGGCAGGAGAAGTGGCCAGACTCCAGCTCCTCCATATAGAGCACCCAGGCCGCTGCAGTACATCAAAGCGCCTAGTTCTGTTAAAAACAATCTTATTATTCGTTGCTTACATAAACAAGATATCATTAACAATTTTATAATCACTAAAAACCGTTTTTTAATATATAGACCGTTCATAATCTTTTAAACATGTTAATATGTTTTACGTCAAGACCTAAAAAGTCAAGCGTTTATAACGTTTGAATTATTGATTATTCCTAAAGATATCAGATAAAACCATAGAAGACGACCTACCTGTGGCTCTTGCGTATTGCTTGAGAGCTCTTCCAGCAATTTCTATATCACCAAGTCGTAACATATCTAGGCGATTATGGGACAGTGAGTCTGGGGATAAGGGTGGAGACTTGGTAGAAGCGGGCGATTGGGGAGAGACACTCCTTTCTGGTGAGGGAAAGCGTTGTGATGGCGGCGACGCCACTTGGAACTGCTCTGCTAAGCGAGAGAGTAGAACATGACGAGACATCCTGAAACAATCAAACTGTTATTAATATTTACGCCCACTGTTGTACAGTTATATGAATAAAATGTAACTAAAGGGGCTTGTAGCTATCAAGACATAAAAGAAAGTAGAATTAGTTTTCATGTGTTCACCTAATCTCAACTCTCAAGTACATTTATTATCTACCAATCGGCATTCGTGTGTACAGTCGTTATTCTGTTTCAAATATATTTTAATTGGGTCTTTTAAATTCGATAAGTACAAGGTAGACACTACATAATATATACATGTAATGTATAAAGCTGTAGTTTAAATGTATATACAATATTTTAACAGACGAACTTATCGCCGTAAGACGCTTGCTTCTGTGTTCTTAAGAGCATGCTCATCGAAGTATAGAATCATCTACGTACATATATCACAGTCTGTGTACAATGATTTTGCCCAGCTAATTGTTCGAAAGTCGAAATTTGAAAGATCACCATTAAAACGATTAGTTAAAGTAGCAAGTTCGGTATTGATATTAAAATATTTGTATGTCCAACAAATATGTTCGTCATCATAGCTATAACGTGACCATCACCATTAGCGGGTATCTAACTATTTGTCGACAGCTCTCGCCTTGATTAATCCGCTCGACTGTTTGTCGACAACGAATCGTATTAAAAGCTCAATCAAGTAAATGAAGAATCAGAATAATGGAAGTGGATAGCGACGGCCCGTTGCGTACGCGCATTAATTATTCACGGAATATCGGACTAAAACAATCTTCATTACGCTAAAAAGCATTACCGAATGAGTTTCTAATCCATGTCGAACGAAATAAATATTATCCGTTCCCTTAGGTTGTGGTCACAGTGTCTTTTGTAGTTATTTCGAATTATTTTTGATATCAAATTTTGTAATAAACTGTACAGACCACTACCCAATAAGATCTAACCAAAAAGTATTCGGCACATAGCGTTCATAGGAGACCGCAGCGTTACCGCGTTCATTACTTAGCTGTTTTAAATCAAAAAGACATCTTTTGACGTGAATTGCCAAATTCGTGTACTAGTTAACGTAATTAGGGGCGAAGGGTGATCTATATCAACCGATTCCACCTGTACCTATTCAGTATACCTTCGTTTGTCATAAAGATGATATCGTATGCGTCGGGAAGCGATACGATTTATTAATTACATGTGTTGTTAATTCCTTATCAGAACTAGGGAATGTCTGGATGCATGATTGAAGGCTATTAGACCCGTAATTGGGTAAGGAGTGTGAGGGCCGAGTGTCGTAATTTCTTGTATCAATAAAGGCTTTATTAGGTGCTTACTACCCGACTCTATGTCGTACATTTGTTTCCTAGTACTTTAGTGGGAAAGGCAACAAATGTTAACACGTATAACTTGTGATTGAATAATTATTTATGTAGATGTCTAGTTTTTGGTGTTAAGAATATTCTTTGCTTTGATGTTTAATACGTAATTTGCAAATTTGTAGAGCTGAAAAATCATATTCATACATTCGTATAAAAAGCAAAAACCGCCAATAGGTTGCCGATTTATGTTTGGTCGGGAAGGTAGGTATTACTCATATGTCTCATTTTTATATATATTAAACGACATATTTGTTTAAGTGAATTGGAGCTAAAGATGTCTTTCAGTGAATTTACCAAAAGGATTTTGAGATAAGATTTACTTGATAAAACGCATTTATTAATTATTGTTTGTCTATATTTATGGTATAATTTATAAATTTGCACTTTTAAGAAATTCTCAAATCCTTTAGGCATATGTAGCACTTAAAAGATTCCTAGTAAAGTACACGAATAATAAAGTATACCAAAAACTTAAAACCTCACTTATCAATGTAAGTATTAGACACATACCTTAGGAAAATTAATCACTGCGGGTTCACTCATACACTGTTGAAACGACGTAATGAGAATCCCTAATGTCTCTAGAATAACATGGTCTAGACGACCGTAGTTCTATAAGTACAAGCGGCAAAGGCGCGAACTCGTAAACCTATATACAGACTGGAACAGTATACGATGTATCGCGATCGGCGCCTGGCACCTGACTGAAATAAGGCTCGCGCGCCCCGACCTACCCAACTGCTTATCCACAATAACGCATCTTTTTTTCAAAACTTCGCTAACAAAAAACAACAGGTTTGGAGGCTGCGCAATAAAGAAATGATTTGATAAAACGGCCAGCTTGACAGGTGGCTCGCGTCGCATCTTGTAAGTACCAAGTACTTTAACAATAACTAATCACTTAGATTAACAGCATACATTTGAGATCGCCTAAACAATTTCAAATCCAATGTGTAATGTAATAAAGTGTAGATTTACTTAACTTAAGTCTTTTTGTTATTCTCATTTTGAGTGAAACCAATCTTATGAGAATGAAGTCTTTAAAAAACTATGATGATACGAACTAATTTCATATACAAGATATAGTTTTCAGGTCGCCCAAGTTTTGAAGAAACATTCTACCGAAAGTAAGAAATACAATGATTATTGGATACAGTTGAGAAAATTTGTAATTTAAACTTTGTTTATGTTTGAAAACTCAGATTTGTTTAGAGCGCCCCGCCCACTGGCCGTGATTGGCGGCTGTTAGCACTGGGCGGAGCGATGCTTAGATGAACTTAGGAACACATTGGTGAAATATTGTATCCTCTCGTTTAAGGTTCATTCTGTTTAATTTTGGTAAAATATAAAGCGTCACAGAATAGAGAAAGGAATGATTTTCTTCATTCTCTCTTAGGCCGCCTTTAAAAGGTATTTTCATCACTTGCCAGACAGTGTTCATTCCCTTATAGAAGAAAAAGTTAATAAGATTATTTTTCCACAATGTTTAAATTTTTACTTTATGCTATCTCATAAGGGACATACTGAAAATCAGCGTTGAAGCTGAGTCTGATACCTTTAGCACAAAGTTAAAAAATTTACTTTTTTCATTCTTCTCATCGTAAGTTTTTTTAATATTCATTTTAGTCGTTTTTTTTCGTATAAACAGATAATACATTTATAATTGTAATGAATAATCTATCATACTAAGAGTTAGAGAGATAATAATTAAAACCTTAAATTGCCTTGAAGTATCTTAAAACGTTTTACATTTCATTCAAATACATATAGTGTTATGATTCTTAGGGTTAATATATAATTTTTAATAAAAGCTGAACATACCTACACTAAGTCAGAAGCGCGTACATATGTATAAGAATTACGAATTACCTGACATAATATAATATAACTCATTAATATTATCTCCCCTGGACCGCCTCTGAACCCAAATGGTTAAACGCATTGCGTTAAGCGCGAGAGGTCCTTGGTTTGAATCCCAGGGGAACAAAAAATTGTTTCGCTCGGTCAGGGCACAGAAGTCTGGACAACTACTTGCCTGTTAAAGAACGGATCAGTGAAACGGACACAAAATGTGTTCGCCCCATGCCCCACGAGGGGGAAACGGGATTTCACTTTGTTTACATGAATATTATCTATTAAACTAGTATCTATCTAAGTACAAAAAAAAATATGTTTCAGCCACATGTTAACATATGAAATTTTAACACTTGGCATTAACGTATACATATAATATTCTGTTTCACTTACACCCACTTAAGTGATATTATACAGTCGATTAACCCTTGTAGCAATCTCGGGAAATTTAATTATACGGCTAATCTGCTTTGGTTACAAGGTATTTTATTACAGGAGGAAAATGTATGGTTTCACTAGTGCTTCACGTTTAGATATAGCGTTGTAACGAAGCAATAGTGTTGCTACCGCACAAAGTATTTGGTGTTTGAGTGATTATAATGTAAATTTTTGAAATTGAAATACTTATTAATTTTCTGCATAAAATAAATACATAGTTATACAGTTCATAAGTAAATAAATAAAAAATATACTATTAATTTCTATTTTAGGTGGTCAATGTTCTTAGTAATTCTTTTTATACTTAAACAACTTCAAAACAATACTTTTAAATAAAACGTTTTAACAGTTTAAAATGCGAAGTATAAATTTTTTACAAATTATGTTTTACTAGTACATTTCGTGTTTTAAACCGTTTAAGTGTTTTATATAAATGTGGACTACTCGCATAAACTACAGACAACTACAATAAATATGTAGATATACACTACTACTATAACTTACATACATGACTTATTTTTATTACTTATTAAACTGGAACTTTTCTAAAACCGTCATATAGGGAGAAGGCAACACTGGCGCGGGATTAGGGGGTGGGGGGTGAGAAGAGGGTGAGCCAGGCCACGCGTGTAGGTAACGGCGCGCGCGTGGCGACCCGTTAGCCCCGCGCCTCGCACATGTCACGCCGGCACGCGCCCGCGCAGCTTTTTATCATCCTTTTTCTGACCGCATTTTTGTCTCCCTTTGTTCAAATTTTGATGAAGATTGCGTTACTTGGGCAACTAATAACAATCTTGAACAGTTACTATGTTTCTTCTAAACTCAGGTTATGCTACGATAGGTTTAGGATTACTATACGTTCATATCGTATACCAACCAACGGTACGTTAATATTTTATGCATTGAAAACACAGTACATAAGATACAACAGTATTTTATAGCATGCAAGCGAAATATGTCATAGTTAAACAGGGTTTTTATTGTCAATAGATAAGCAAATCAAAAATAAAACTTTGCGAATAGTTACGGGTTGGTTTCAGCTGCAGAACCGGTACTAGAACGGCTGACAGTGTCGTCCTCCGCCATTCCTTGGAGTCGACTTTTATTAATTGGGCAGATGAGAAGCACGGCTCTCATGATGAATGCACAATCCTTATATGGACAACAGTTCGCGAAACCTTTTATAGATTCTCAATTAAAAGTGTCTATTATACTTAATAGGACGTTCGGACATTGTTGAGTTTATAGAAACGAGAATATTTGCTTACAGTGTAGAATAAAAAACGGTCATTATAACGGAAAGGACGATTAAGTGGAATAAAATATTGCGTGGGGGTGCGGGTGGCAGGTGGCTGAGACTAGAGATGTTCTTCAAGCTCGATAATCAAGTTTATCGATTCTAGTACAGCACTAAGATATTTTTATAATTTGACCGCTTTTTCAGGCTGTGATAATTGCAAGCATTTATGTTTTAATGAATAAACTTCGTAGAGGCTACGTTGTTTGCCTACGTAGAGCCTGCGTATGCGACTGCTCTACGAATTCTGTGTAGCAATATGTGTCTATTTCTAACTTTAGCTTTCTACAATACACAGGCAAATGTCTGGAGATCGAATGCAATATCCCAAACGTTAATCGTATGCTGCTGACCGTCACGGGTCCCAATATCGCAAGAAAAATATACATAGGTAAATATATAACTTCTGTTATAAAAATAAATACATTACTTGCTGATATTTCATTACCCCAATTAAGTCTTTTATCTAATAAATAACTATTTAAAATTATAATACAATTTCAATTTCGGAAAAAAAATTACGATACGGGTAGGACTGGACAGGGCAGTGCCATCATGTGCATAATATCAAAGTTTTCAAATATAATACATTGTTGCATATAAAATAAAAATCAATGTATTTCTTAACTATATCGACAACTGAATGTAAATCCCTAAGTAGGGTCTTGAAGCACCCCCATTCTCGGTTTGTAAGATTCAGAAGCACCCGCACCGCGACATGTGCGCGCGCGCCTTAACGGATTTATTCAAATAGCGCGTGTCGCCCATCACACTTACATTAATAGCCCTAATTTTAATACGGAACCTTTGCATGTACAGCAATATGTATCGCATTTTGAGAACAGTTAAGTCTTGCTATTCTAACAATAAATATATCACTTATCTCTGATTTATTAATTTAACTTTTTTTTCTGCCACATGTTGGACTTCGTCTGGTAATCTGGATATTAAACGGGTGGTACGTTCGCGTTTCGGTTTCAGTCTATGGATTTCTGAATATTAAAAATTGGGTCGACAGCACATCTTGTTTACATGCCATATCGCTGGGCTATTTCACCTATTATCAAGGGAACTCCATGATCTATCATAAAAAATATCTTACTATTTATAAGCAAGACGTTTCATGTCAGCAGAACATAATTCAAAAGACAACAAAAATATTGTGTACTTTATTTAATAACACATAATCAGTCTCCCGGTGACCACGGCTGCTGCATCCGAACGTCGGGCCGAAGTTAAAAATCATTAAAATAAGTTTTATTTTAAACACATAACATCTTCAACCTTATATTTAGGTAACATTAGTATCTATTTTGGTATAATTAGTAAAACGAACGTTAATATTTGTTTAACATGCAGTGATTTTTTAGATAACAAAGGTAATTGTACTGAATTTTGAACTATTTCCCATCTATGATGCAATATGATGGTTTTGGTGACAACGAAATTTATTTATTCCCTAAAGTCTGTTCCGTGTCTTCTCAGTTGTACCTTGTGTCGTTAGCAACAAAGCAACATCTGAATCCTATAAACTTGTGAAATTGAAAATTTGCTTAAAATATTTCTCCGAAATGGAAAATAACAGTAGGTATAAGGCGAGTCATATGGCGGGCGTTGCAAGCGAAACCGTAAAAGCTCGAGTGCGTCGCCACACAAAGCTTAGCTTTATCGTACATGCGCCCGCCCGATCATTACCTCATATAAAAGTTTTAACTTAACTTATTATTGATCCTTTCATGATTCAGTCAGGCTTGGACACATGTTCTTTTTACCAACCAAGGCAACCAAGGCAACTTCATTGCGGTTTTCAATTACAAACAATGCTAAGACCGCGCTTAAGTAAAGCTTTGCTTACGCTTTCATTACTATTCACGATTTGGTTAAAACATCTGCGTGTTTTACAAAATGAGATTTATTTATTAAATGCTCCAGCGCGCACGCAGTAGATAATTAAATAGATTGAAATTAAAATATACGAAGTGCAAGTAGCAGTAAATACAAATGATTTCTTTCAAGCGACACCAAAAGAAAAAGAAGATTTAATAGGTACATGAAAAGGAAGAAAGTATAGGTTGGTTAAAACTTATTGATTAATTCAAAGAATTTTAGAAATGAAACTTAAAGGTCATAACAAAAATTTATTAAAAAAGTAAAGGATACAAGTCAATATGTCGTAAAAAAATAAAAGACCAATGTGTTGTGTTATAAAGTAATGACAGTCACTTATAGATAAGGCTTTTTAAAGAAAGTCAACGATAAATCCTACGACCGAATAACTTCGTTATCGTCTTTCAATTGTTAATTTGGGCGTTCTTTATTTAATTTTCTGACGTTGTGCGTAATTATGCGGATTAAACACTGTGTTGGGTGTTATCAGAGCCACGTGTAGGTATAACTTTGACAATTTAATAGCATATGCAGTTGCACCTGCTTCTGCAAAAAGTAGATGTATGTACGCTTCAGGCTGTGAAGCTTGGAATTCGTCGCCGCGATGGCGCTCATTGCCTATTTTATGCGCAATTTATCGGTAGTCGATTGGTAAGGTGTATCTAGGGATACGTTAAGCTCTTTACGTTTAGTTGAACCTGATAATCATAAATGATGTGATATTATTTTCATAACACAGTTTTATATCTAGATAATGTTTCGTAATCATCAACAGTAAATATTGAGCCGCAATAAGTATTTATTTGCACTCTTTATATACGATGTCCGAATTATTAAATGATGTTATAGCATAATGCAGTTTTCCGTTATTCAAATCTTTGTATGTCCTTCCTTCCTATTGCGTCAAGCAGCAAAATGCCGAGCTCACAAATGTAAATCTGCCTTCTTTATATATATTCATAAGGACCTAGACATTAAGTGACTACTAACAAGTTCAGCCATTACCTTACGATTACAAGAATCTCAAAGGAATTGATTAGAGTGATTAAAAATTTCTCAGTTTATAATGCCCTTAAGCGATCCAGATAATATCCAAGTATGTCCAGTTCTTACAAGGAAGATATGAGTGATAGGACTCACTTCATCATTTGCCCTGGGGCTTGTTTAAATATGGTATTCTATATCTACGTTAAGCTTTAAATTGTGTCATCTCTTATTGAAATAATTAATACGAATCCAAAGCCCACTCTTTGTGTATAATTTTACAATAACTTACTTATATCGCACTTAAAGATCTAAATATTATCGTAATAAACAATAATTTACAAATGAAGAACTGGTTTGGTCGTTCGAAATTTGACCTAATTCTCTTGAAGATAATAAAGTGACGAGTATGAGGGAAGCGATTTATATAATCAGATTACAGGTGACCTTAAATATAATAGGCGAATCCCACTATATCGGAGTGTTCGGCCGGGTACCGTTGACCCGTGGCTCAGCAGGGCCCGGCAGGTGGTGCGAAGGCCGGCCGGGAGCATTCGCCGCTACTTAATTGATTCCAATCTGAGACCAGATCCTCGGTAGGTACAATCGTAAGTATAATTTCACTTTCGCTCGCACACACTCCACTTAAACTAACGGTCTTAAAATTTTTACATCTATATATATTTTACATAGATTTACTATATTATTTGGGTACATTTGGGGTCGTATGTACTCAATTTATAACCAATCGCTCTTCAACTCGTTCTGAATTGTTTCATTTTGATATAGTATCGTCTTATTTATAAATAAAATTGTTACAATATTTAATACGGTTTTAAAAGGACAAATCGAAGACGTAATTATATAATTATTAAAATTATAACGTTTGTTACCAAATACGGCTCTTGTATTTGAGGCGGGCCCTCTTAGTTTGTTTGGGACAAATATTCAACGATAACATAATATTTTAGTTAGTAGCTGTAAAGCTTTTTAACTATTTAATAAATTGACTATTGTTGCGAATTGAGACACGGTTAATTAAGAAATCTACTGAAGACAACTTTGATAACCATCTCATGTACTTAACGTTTAGTACTGAAAGATGTTTAAAAGTATATAAAAATAGTAGTAGTAGGTAGAAATACACAGAAATCAGAAACTAAGTAAAAGTGTTGCTCCTCTTTTGCCTCTTAGCCACCGACGATCGTTTACCGCATTAATATAAGAGGCGTGGGCGCATAATAAAAAGACACACGCTACACGCAGAACGCGATCGTCAAAATGCACCGGTTATGTTACTCCATTAAGGCGCCAACCGTACTAACTGATTTATTAAAGAGATTATGTAAAAGCGAATTCTTTGTATTATAGTAAGACTAAATTAATATATGTAGGTTGTGATTTCTAAATAATTCAAATTGTCAGTGATCATTATGGTAAAAGTACTCATTGATTACCGAATATTTTAGATACTTTACTAGAATTATTTTAGATACTTACTCTAAAATAATTCTAAATTACTACATTATTGACCATGTAAATATTTCTACAATATCTAACCATTTTTGTTGCCTTAGCAATTCAGTAGATCTATTTTGTGTGTTTTATACTTCTTATATCAAAAAATTAAATTGTTTAACGTGTTCAATTGTAAAACAAAGTGCACACAGCATTAATATAAGCCATAATAGGTGGAATACATAAAATAAAGCAGCTGCGCAAACCAGTTTGTGTAGATCTGTCTAACAAAACACGACTAGGTTACTTAAATCAAGAAAAAAAATGTAAATGTTTATTGTAGAGTTTTCCATATCTGTAAGTTATACAGTAAATAGCGGTGTCTCGAATCGCACGCGCCTAATAATTACACGTAAAAGGTCGCAAACGCACATTGCGCTTGCCAACTCCCCATTATCATTCCCTAGGGCACTTTTTCCGTCGTTTAATTAAATACATTCATAATGATTAC